ACCAGTGTCTAGGCAGAGTAAAAACCATTCACCAATATTCTTTGAGTGTGATTATCGCTCCAGTTTTTCCACCCATCTGGTAGTCCCCCTGTCTAAATTGTAGCATCTCAACCTGGATACAAGGATACTGTGGGAAATGGTGTCAAGAGCCTTGCTAAAGTCAAACTAAATGACATCCACTGTTCCCCCTTCCTCCACAAATTGAGTAGTTTCATCACAGAAGGCAATCAGGTTGGTCAGGCATGATTTATCCTTGGTGAATCCATGCTGGCTTTTCTCAGTCACTTTCTTGTGCCTGGAAATGGCTTCCAAGAGGATTTGCTTCACGATTTTCTCTGGGAAAAAGTGAGACTGACCAATGTGTAGTTCTCCAGGTCATTCTTCTTGTCTTTTTTTGAAGATGGGTGCAATATTTGCCTTTATTCAGTTTTTGGAGACTTCCCCCATCTCCCCAACTTGTGAAATACAAGTGAATGGCCTCACAGTGTCATCAGACAGTCTCTCAGCATCTTCCTACAGATTCCATCTGGTTTCCCTGGGATTTCTATAAACTGAGATTTCTTAAGAGATTCCTGGCTTAATCATCTTCCAGTACTGGTAGTTTCTCTCCTCCTTGGACTCCATAGGTACAAAGAACCACAAGACCTTGCCAGCAAAGTCAGAGCCTTATCTGCATCCACGGTCAGTAAATCACCTGACCTGTTCAGCAGCTGGTGCACAGTTTCATTGTTTATTCTTTTATTGCTCATGTGGTGGTAAAAGCTCTTCTTGTTGCCCATAACATCCCTTGCCAGTTTCAACACCAGGTGAGCTTGGACTTTACTAACACCATCCCTACATGTCCAGGCAGTTCCTCCTTAGTTGCATGTTCCTGCTTCCACCTCCTCTATACTGTTTTACTGCATTGTCGTTCAATCATTTCTTCCCTGCTTAGCTAGGGGCCATCTGCTGATACATCTGCTGGTTTTCATGGGTTTTGTGCTTGGAGGAGGTTGTCCTGAAAGACCTACTAGCTTTTGTGAGTTCCATTTCTCTTAAAAGCTGCCTCTCGGGGGATCCCACTAACCAGTTCCCTGAACAAGCTGAAGCCTGCTCTTGAGCTCTGCATTCTGCTGTTCTTTCCTCACCACCTTCAAGATCCTGAACTCAGTTATTTCAGAGTTTATCACAGTGAAGGCTGGCATTGATTATCACATCTCCAGTCAGTTCTTCTTTGTTTGTGAGTTGCAAATCTGGAAGAGCATCACACTTCACTGACACCATAGGGTCCCATCTCCTTCACTTTGCCCCCAGAGCTCTGTAGTCCTGATCTGCACTAGGCGATGTCTTTGGTGTCCATGTGGATGTGCAACAATAGGTAGTTGTGCAAAGAATGGAACATGATTGGCAATCTCTCTGCAATGTAATGGATTGGGGCCGCTAAAAAAGAGAAACCTGTTGTAATAGCATCACAGTTTAGCAGTTTTGTGCCTTCATCCTTCACAGGAGGGAATCTCCAAGCATGATCACCCACCACTTCCTTTTGCTTTCTGCTAATACTCTCAGCTTAGTTGGTTTCAAAGCCTTCCTTAATGGAGCTTGTTCTCCCTCATTGATTATTAGGACACTATCAATTCTGTAAACTCAGGTCTGAGGGCAGAGGAGGAGAGTTTCTGCTGCTGCAAGAAGGCACAAATTTCTGGCCTCCCCCATCTCAGAAGTCTCCATCAATCTCTTGCTCAAGCATAGCCTCTGACTGTCCCTCCTGTCTTGCATCATGAAGCTCAGGATCTTGCCTCTGGAAGGTCTCTGTGAAGACCCTCTCGTTTTCTAGTCATCCTCCCTGATTCTTTGCAGTCTGCTCGCCTGGGATGGGTTGTCCACCTAACATTGCTATTCAGTGCACAAATTAAAAAATCTCATGGAAATAAAATTTTGGAACACTTAATTTCCTCATTCCTTAGCCCCAGTAAAGGCTTGCTGCATGCACCAATTACTTCCTGATATAATAAAAACTGATTGAAGGGTGGTGAAGTTAAGGAAGAAGAATGAGGTCCCACAATTTTTTTCCCTCTAGGAAAAATATCTATGTATTGTTCCAGCGTTGACTATTGCTATATGCTGCTCACAAGTCTTACGTCCTTTTGTATAGCTGCATCTGTTCGTTCACTCTGATGCTCAAAGCATTTTTTTTTTACTTTTTGGCCAGCTGCAATATGATGAGTGCTGCATGAGCTAAAAATGCTGCCCTTCCTTCTGAGGCATGCAATGTAAAATAATCAGGAGGAAATCAAGACAGAAAGTAGAAGTGTGAATATGGTTACTGCAGCTGGAATCATACAGAGATAAATCTGAAAATGAGATGCAAAATGAAAAATGAGTATAAATACTTTTCATGCCAATAACTAAACAGCATAGTGGGATGAACTTAAAAGCAAAATGTAAGTTAATTGAGAAGATCTCTAGGCTTACCTATGCACGTGAAGATTTGGGGGGACTATAGAATAGAACAGAGGGCGGAACTGAAGAATTCAAAAAAGAAAGGTCTTCTAGAGTAGTATTGTCTTTTCTTGTTTTTGTATGAGCCTGAAAATGTTACAGGATAGACAGATAAATGATCATGGGGATGAGTGACTCTTCAAGTATAAAGGAAGTTTAAACTGTAAAAGCATTTTAAGGATGGATTTAGCTATGAAAGAAAAAGCTTGGGAAGGCCCTACAGTGCTGTAACACCATTAGTCAGAGTGGAAGAGGTAAAAGGGCTTGTTAAAAAAATAAATGCACATGAAAAAGGGGCGACAGAAGGGTGAAAGCAGCAGCTGCACCCTGGAGGGAACAGACGAGCTGGAGAAATAGATTGCAAAAGAGAGAAGGCAATTTTTGTTGTGACTGCCCACTGTCTAAATTCCCCCTCTTATCTGTATTAGCTCAATGTCGCATTGACCCTCCCTCTAGCGAGCAGAGTGAGGGGAGGAGGCTTCCACACTTGTCAGTATTGGTTCTTCATTCAAATGAGGAGGATGCACTGATATGACACTAGTTATTTAACTAATATGTGGGTCAAAATAAAATCTGGCAGCAAAGCTTTTAAGAGACTGGGTGAGTCCTCCCCTCTTTTGTGATCTTATGTACAGAGTCTGCGAGGAACCTAGGGTGTTTTGTTTTCCTTACACTACTACATGGTGCACTGCAGAAAAAAAAGAAAAAAAAATCAGGTGGAAATGAAAGCCTGGAAGCTTCACCTCCTCACTCCTTAGCCTGGGTGAAGGCTCAGTGTGCACACCAGTGCTGGAGTTCTGTTACCCTCTGATCTAAATAAAAAAGGGAGTTAACTTTTTTTCGCCTTAAAATGCTTGCAATCACTTCCCCTCCCCTGCCCCCCCCATATCTAAAATAGACCTCCATGGTACTGGAGTCTCATGTCTGAGTGGGTTTTACTGAAGTTCTGTGCCAGTACATGACAGTTTCTGTGTCTTCTTTCTGCTAAATGGAAAAAAAAAAAGTATCTTTAAATATGAAAGTTAATCAAGTCTTCTTTTATTCCAAGTGGCTGTTCTTGAAAGCTAATTAAAATAATTCAGATGACTGAAAAAGATTTTAATTGATTTAGGATTGCAGTTCAGAAAAAATGTATTTCTATGTGGCAGGGCTTTTTGGGGTTAAGCCAGCATCCTAGCAGGAAAGAGCTGAATTCAGCTGTTACTGTGTTACAGATTTGCTTCATAACTTTGAGAAATGCCTTCACCTTTCTGCAAAATGTCAGTTTTAATGGTCCATTCTCACACTTTGTTTTGTGCATTGAAGCAAGATAGGTTCTTGCACTCAGAAGGTTCCCATAAGTTTGGGAATCTATCCTTGAGGCTGAGATTCTGGGTTTTGTAAGCTGACCTATGGGGCTTGTTTCCAAGCACCTGCCCCAATCTGAGCTCTTGCCACCCCCTGCTCCTCCGCCCACCCCACCCCCCCAAGTTCTCTATGCCAGCTGCTGTTTTGTGCCAGCACTGATGTCTGTGCAGCCACATGTTCATGTGATGAGGAGAATGACTCAAATGAAAGTTTAGGTAGGTGGGTAGGTAGGTGGATGGATTTAGAGACCATTTTCTTAACTAAACTCACCGGAAAGCATTATACCAATGGAGGGAAAGAGGGAAGTAAAGCATGGCTGGGGTTGGACCTGTTTGGAGAGCAGGTGGGATCACACCTGTGGCAGTATCTGCCATGGAGATTGACTTAAAGCAATTACAGGACTGCAAAACTGAGTTACTGCTTGCTAGGAGGGTATCTGGGCTTGTGGGGAGTTCAGGGCAGGGACAGCCTCTCAACTTATTCTCACACCTCAGGGCTGACTTTCAGCACTCAGTTGTCTACAGTCGGGGTTATTTGGTTTGGTTTTTCCTTCCACAAGATACAAGGATTTACTGCATGATGTTTTCTTTCATGAGCTGCTTATGCGTGTTTGTCACTCAACCTCCTCCAGCTTGGATGGAGATTTGTAGGTAACATGTTGATATTAAAGTTCACGCAGGTACATTTATATTATCCTTGATGTGAACTTTATACTGCTTTATCTCATTTTTATATTTATGTAATACACAAGTCTTAACTTCCCTTAATGTAAAGCAGGAAACCAGAAAGGGTAGAATGAAGATCAGCATTTTTTGACACACAGATACACACACACACACACACACACCCTGCACCACCCCCCAAAAAGTGAAATTCTGTTGCAAGGTAACTTGCTGCTCTTGGGCCAAGTCTGTGTCCCACTGAGGTCAGTGATTTATCTGCAGTAGATGTAACCTTTAGCACAGATGTGACCAGTTATCATGCACAAAAAGTAGTTTCATGTGCCATTTCCAATGATACGTTGCTCTAAAATGGTGTCAGAATTAAAATGTTACCCAAAGTATTGTCTAAAGTTGAGTTCTCTGAGAACCTCTCCAGGGATTCTTCTTTTTCTTAATGTTTTGCAGTATAGACGAATGATTTTGTAATAGCTTTCTCCTATATCTGATTTTCAGGAGGCACAATCAATCAAGAAATTACCTACCTTGATTCACTCTGGATTAGTGGCCGTTTATGGCACAGTTGTTTTGAACCAGATCGTTCTCTTTTTGGGAACAGATGATGGACAGTTACTGAAGGTAAGTTGGATGTGTCAGTTCTTCCCTTCTCTATCAACTGCTGCTGTGTTGAAATGGGTAAATATTTCCTGGGTTAAGCACTGTATTATAAACAGATATAATCCCCTGAATCTCTATTTCTTTTTTGTTCGTCTGTGAAGTAACTGCTGTATTGTTACTTGGAGAGCAAGATAACTTTCAAAAGCAATTAGGTACCCTGCTTAAAATTCATGGAAACATTTCATTAAACTGCTAATGCCCGCAGTATCAATTTATGGACTGTGGAGTTCTCAGTTACTCTGTTTTTTGTTTTCTTCCTTGCTTTGATTTTCCAGTAGAAATATTAGATATTGTTAGATTTTGGAAGCATATTTCTTTTTTTGTTGGCCTGTGTGATGTGAATAGCTGTCCATTAGAGAGAAAAGTCAAGATTCATTTTGCCTTAGCTTCTGAATAGTTGACCTACTCGAGCTTAAATCAGTCACCTGGAAGAGAAAGTCATCATATCTCATTATCAAACTTTTCAACCATCCAGTTTTTTATGCTTTAACTTTTTTCTGGGTTTTGTAAGAATGTGCGTTTCCTGTCTACACTGCAAATGATGGCTCTTATTTTTTGTTTTTATTAAGCAGACAGTGGAGAGAGGGATATAGTAGAGAGCTTGGAAAGTTTTTCCCCATTTGATTTCACTGTGCTTTTGATAATGAAAAATTAAATTGAAGTCTTCTGTGTCTCCTTAGCACAGTGGAGACCGTGAACATCTCTCCCTTATATAGTCATGTTTATGGAAAAACTTATATCAGTGTTGGTGTGCTTATTAAGTTGCAAAATAAAGTTTCTGTGGTCCCTGATTCTCTTGAATTCTGTGCAAAGAGTGGTGGAAAGCTGCAGAGTTGGGGTAACATAAGAAGAAGAAATACCACCTCAGATGTATGTTCACAGAAGCCACAAAGAAACTTGTGTCCTGAAGACTCTAGTCTGTAACTTACGTAGGTTCCTTTTTACATTATAGATGTCTGGATGTTAATTTGTTTTCTGAAGGCTAATACTTCTTCATTCATAGGAGTACTTAGCACATGACTTTGCGATATAGGCATTTCTTCCACATTCAGTTTTCTGCGCCAATCAGGAACATACTTGGTGGGAGGGATGTTTCACACACTAAACCAGTGCCAGATTCAGTGCACAATGTGTCTGGCAGGGATTTTGTTGAAATTCTGTTCTGGTGGTCTTTTTCTCCATCCTTCTGCAGTATGAGAGCCAGTGCAGCAGGTGAATTGAATCAGGGCACAGTAAATCATCTCAGAAGCTCTGATGTAGTTGAAATTAGGTTTTTGTTTAAAATGCTGACTGATAAACAGAAGGACTTGTGAATAACATAATTTCATATGTTTTAGGCTATTCTTAATGAGGATATGGAATCTAATTGCCCAGAGGTTTTATACGAAATTAAGGAAGAGACCTCAGTTTTCCCCAAACTTCGACTTGACCCAGTAGATAATAACTACATCTATCTGTCCTCTGCCAATAAGGTAAGCACAATATTAAATAAAATAATAAATTTAAGTAAACTACTGCTTTAAGGATTTCTGCCACTTTGTAAGTGAAGCATCAGTTTGGGTCAGAGTTAGACCTTAAATATCCAAGCTGCAGTTACCAGCTTTACATCTAATATCTGCTTATGTTGTCTGAGTTTGGGCTACACTGCTGCAGAGCTCAGAAAAGCTTCCACTGTCATGGTGCTGCTCACTGTTGCTATGATCCAGCAACACCCTTAATCCCATGCTTATTTTGTATCATTCAGTTGAAAGAGTGTCTGTTTCTCTTTTTCCTGGAGGCATCACACAGAATCAAGCTTGGAAGTAGCAAACAAAACTTATAGACTCTTGGAGACTGAGTTTGCCTGAATTAGCAATCCAGGTATTGATAGGCCAGGGTTTGCTAGTCAGTTACGGAGTTTCTAATTTGGAGAAATCTCTTAATTTGAGAGATGTGTTCGAAGTCTTAGTTCTGCTGAAAGCAATGATAAAATTCTCATCGTCTTCAGTTAGGCATAGAATTTTTAAAAAACAAAACCAAACAAAACCACAATCAGAAGTGATTAATGTTTATGCATAGCAAGGCCAAGGAGTTCAGCAATCACTGGGAGCTACTGCATGTAGGAGAAGGCATCAGAGCTGCACGTCAAGCAGAGAGCAGCTCCCAGGTGCTGGTGAAGTTGTAGCACATCCTGCAGCAGGGCTACTGAGCATCAAGTCAGCAAATTCCTTTGTCTGGCCAGCAGTGAGGAAGATGGCAGTGAAAACATAAGGGCTGGCTGTCCATCTTAGCTGGACAGGATTTCATCCAGCACTTTATTTACAATAAAACCACTTCTTCAGCAGTGCACATAGCATTTTAGCCTGCTGTCTGAGAGAGTGGGTAAATTGGTAGGAGAACTCCTGGCTGATATAAGCCATCTATCACAGATGCAGAAGGAATCAAAATTTCAGTCAAAAGTGTATGTAGATATTCAAAGTAAAGACTTGAATTTTCATTAGCTTTGGTAAAAGAGCAAGTTTTTATAGAGGAACAACAGCTTTTAGGCCTCTCTTTGATCGTCTCTTGGATCTTAAATAAAGCTTCTACACTGTCTTTTTTAACTTGCTAGTAGTCTGTGACGCTGACTGGTTTCTTAACTGATTATCTCACACACCTTCAGATAAATTGAATTTTACAAGATATGGCTGGAAAAAACAGTATATACAGTGCTGTTTCTGTTCACAAAATAAAGGATCTCTTAATTCTTGCAGATTTGTAAAAAAATTGTTTGAATTAGGAATATTTTTCTTAATAAGATTTTTAACGTTGTTATTAATAAAATTATTTGTATTTGTATTCAGTATTTGTAATAAGCGTTCTCTTTCTCTTTTTCTTTTCCTTTTCTGAAAATGGCTGGCTAGGATATTCAAGCTGAATGTACAAGTATAGCTACATACAATATAGCCACAATTATCTACATTTACTTCCTGAAATGGCATTTTCATGCATGCTCTAAGTAGTTGCATGCGTTTGTTCTAGTGTGCACATGCAGTAACCTGACATGGTGATGCAAACACAGATGCATTTTGTTTTGCGCATGCATTGTTGGATGCACCTTCATCAGTCATGTAAAAATCTCAATCCTGATGAGAGGAAAATGGTGTTCTGCTAAGCAGAGCATTATTTGTAAAATATATACATCCTTTCTATTGTTATCTATATTCACTATGCCAATCAGTCTTTCTTGCATTAATCTGTCCATGCTGGCCTTTGAGTAGCAGAACCTAACTGTCATTGTCAGAGGCGTTTCATCATCTGATGACAAAATACAGTGTGTGTAAAATAGGCTGCATATTTCTATCCAAAGGTCTTCTGGCAGAGGGGACTCCATAAGGAAACTTCCCCAAAGGGATTGTGCTTGGTTGCTCTCAGATTTTTAATGGTAACCCTCAATTTCCCTCTTTATGGAGACTATTTTAATTCAGTGTGTTATTGCATTCTTTGGTTTTAGGTGAGAAGAATACCAGTTGCAAATTGCAGTAAATACGTTTCTGAGCAAGAATGCTTATCTGCAAAGGATCCCTACTGTGGGTGGTGTTCTTTGAATCAAAGGTATTTTTTGGTATTTTAGACTTTCATATAAAAGCAATGCATTATTAGTCAGTGTACATTTTGACTGGCTTGGGGGTACTCAGCATCAAGATTGTATCTACTGAATTTTTATGGAATCAGTCATAGCCGTAAATGTGAGACACTATTGCCATGTGAAATGGAGCTCTGCAACTTGTAGAGACCCTGTTAACCCTCAGATTTTTGAGATCTACCCATAAATTATATGTTGGGCTAAGAAGAAGAAATTATTCTGGGTTTAGAACAGATGTTTCTGCTTTCCAGATTAATTGAGAGATAAAATTGTTTACTTGTGCTTGAAGCATCTTAATAGCTGGGAGCATCTTGCATGCAAGAAGGGGGAAAGAGTGCTTAGTTGTCTTCAGTATTCATAGTTCCTTGCTTTAGAACCACTGCCTTTGGTTTAGGCCAGAGGAGAATTTCTCTCTCAAACTCCATCCTCATATTTGGGGATGACATTAAGTCATTAGTGTTGCTGCTTTGCTTGAAGCAGGTTTGAAAGCTATTGTATGTCTTTGGCCTGGACTGGAAAAACTCCTGTCATCAAGCCTAGTCTTAGCAATTGCAAGCAACCACGTCAGGTAAACCTACTCATAAAGTAGTCAAGGACCATCCTAAATTTAGACAAGCTTTTTGTCCTCCCTGCCCTGGTTGTGTGGCTATCTGACAGTCTCATTTTTCCATTTTTCTGCTGGTTAAAATCTGTCTGCTCATTTTCATCACATATATGTTCATGAACAGGTTATGCTCCTTTGTTCTGGTGCTCACATCACCTTGGCTTAAATAGGTTTTCCTTCCTCCCTCACACTTACTTCCTCAATATTTTTGTGAAAGCAGTCTCTTTTTTTTTTTTTCCTTTCATTTTGCTGTGCTAAAACAGCTAACTTCAGTAAGATCCTCTCACATAAGATACTCCGTTCTTGACTCCACTCCAGTAGACCTTCTGTGAAGTTTATGCATCCTTTTAAAATAAGGATGGCCAGGACTGTCACAGTATTCCAGAAGAGGTTTCAGCTGTGTCTTGCTCAGCGGTGTTTAATCAGCCTGTCCAGGAAGCACCCTATGTAGTGTGTCCTGGGATCAAAAACTTTTTTTTCATGACAGCCTCACATTGATGGGCCACAATCATCCATGATCGAATAATGACCCCAGGTCCTTCTCTTTCTTTGTTTTCTTTCCAACTGATGCGTTTCCAGCCTATAGCACATATGGATCATGAGATTTTTATTCCTCTAGGTACATGTTCTTGTACTTTATGCTTTGAAATGTTATCCCATTTCAAGGTTATCCAAGTTTTCTTGTGTGATACTCTCATCTTCCTCTGCATGGTAACGTTCCCAACTTTGTATGATCAGCAGATGTTGACAGTATAAACCTTTTTTAATGCCAGTTTATCAGTGATTAAAACAGTAAACAAAAGTGGTTGCAAGATTGGTTTTTGAGGAATTTCACTACTCGCCTTTTAAAAAGTTAATACTACCCATTTTGATTTGTTTTAATGTTAAGGTGACTTTTCTGAAGACCTGATACTCTGTGTTTGCAAAGGTAGTTGTTAATAGAGAATAGTTGTTTACTCTGTAAGGTGAGGTGTTTTCTTCAAACTCTCTTTTGCTACCTTGTTAGAAACTGTCTATGTTTCAGTGCTAAGCTTTTCAGTCTTTTAGTTACTTCATAAAGAGTTTGTGAATAACAGTTATTAGTCAGTAAATCCCCTGTTTATGAGGGGATTCACCAGAAGTTTCCATCTGGTTGAAACAGAAATCATTTGCTCTTTTGGAGAATAAATAAATTACTATAATATGAATCCCACTCAACACCCACATAATTTTTCACTGTTAAACACTTAGCATCATTAAATATTTGGCTTTGTGAAAAGAGAGCTCTGAGTAAGGCTTTAGAAAAAGAGGAAGACTTGTCTTTAGCCAGTATTTAATCAAATTCCATGCATGTCCACTAAAGCAATATATTTCATAATAATTTTGAGATTGATGATATGTTTTATACTCTTATTGGGAAATAAATGTTATATTAAATATGCACTCCATTTTTAAAATAAAACTTACCATCAGTGCTTCATTTTAAAGACAGTGTGAACTCAAATACAGTATTTTGATGAAAAAATCTACACATCTTATTTCAAGTAAAAACAAAATAAAATATTTCTACCATTTCTATTTCTACTCTTTCTTTCATAAGGATAGATATATCAATCCCTCTTTTCACTCACAGTCATTGAAAACAACTAGTCATACCGTTGTGTGATTTCTTTTAAGTTGTATAGATTTTCTGTAGATGAATCAGATTTATCTGAAGTATGCTGAAATTTTTCCAGTGCAAGACACTGATGTTTTCCATTTGTTTTCCATATGGAAATAACACAATATGTTGTAGTTATCTGACATGACCAGGCTTACTTTTTAATTTGGTCAATGTGTATGACATCTGTGGACTTCATTCGAGGACTGCTACCTTGGAAAAAGAAACCAAAACTTTCTCAGAAACCATGTTCTCATTCCGTGAGGAAATCTGTATGCTTTAGCAAGGCATAGAGGGCAAACTCAATAGGATCTGTAGTTAATACAAGGTTGGCGAAGCAGAGACAGAATATGAATGAGTTGGTATGCATAGGTATCATGTTATTATAATGAAATAAGGGGAATTTAATTCCAATTATGAAGAGAAATCTTTCCTAGTATAAAGAACTAGGTCACTGTGACAGATTAAAATAAAATCCTGACTGCTTGTCTCTGTACATATATCTATGCACGTCTGAAATCTGATCGTAGGGTTTCATACCTTATACTTTCATACATGTATAGGGTTCAGTCCCCCTTTCCAGGAAAGCCAGCCTTAGTAGTTGTCCGAGTTGGTATGTTACTTTTCAGAACCATGTGGTTTACAAATAATATTTATCTGTTATATTAATTCCAGTGTGTTTGCAAACAATATAAATTTTCTAAAACTAGCGATCTCAGCTTTAGGTGAGTGGAATTCATGTTACTCTTGGCTTGTACAAGGCAATTGTGAGAATTTATGCTGAGGGGCATCAGATGCTCTACTGCCCACTTTGTGACAGCTTCCTACAAAATGACTGTTCTCCACAGCACATTGTTTGAGTGTTAAAGGTCAGCTTTTAGAGCAATCTAGGACACATTTTTTCCTGGACTGAAGACAAGTGTGACCCTGGGTGCTGGGTGGCATTACTTTTTTTGCTATTAAACTCTTAGATTCTTCATTGTAGATAAGGGAAACATTCACTGCTTGTGTTCTTCGGGAAGTCTAGGAAGGCACTTAACTTTGTCCTAGGACAGTTTTAAATATTCAGCTTTATAAACAGTTTTCTTTTTTAAAATTTTAATATTAGTGTCACTGAAATGCATACACTTATTTAGTGCCAAGTATTATGAGTGTGCTGCTTTGCATCTTCAACATTATGATCCTCAGCCTGTCAGGAACTATAGGATGTGTCTCTCCCATGCGTCATCGCCAGTGAGCTACCTGCCTGTACATATCCAAGCATCTGTCTGCTTTATGCACATCTGGTGATGACAGATCCCATCCTCTGTGGTTCTAAAACTGTGATGCTAATGGACCTTTGTGATCTCAGTAAGGTGAAAAGAGAGATAAATGAGACCGAAATCTGTCCTAGCTCAGAGAGTTTGAAATATGTCAGGCATAGTCCCAATTTCTTACAGCATAGTTATGATCTGAATGTATTCATATGCAAAGCCCCACCAGGCTCTTGTGCAGGAGGAACTCAATTTCCTGAGTTAGACCACAAAGGAAGTGACCTTGTGCTTAACTGCATTCCAGTTGATCTACAGAGAAGATGGCTTTATGGTTTCTATGGTTTGTGGGGTTATTTCGGGCATTTTGGAAAGTGGTGGATGTTTTTATTGAAACTCATGTTATTCCTTCTGGAGAGAAAACGCATTGTGAAATACAGTTATACAGTGAGCTCCTCATGAAAAGGCCCCTGGTTTGCAAGTATGTTTAGTTTTTAGTGAAGGAATAGTTCATCAAGGCACATGTTCACTGATCACAGGATTGAAGCTATACATACTTCTATGTTTGATAGAAAAGTATTATTATTAAACCAATATTAAATGTTATATTTATTTATAAATATTCAACCCTAAATATTAATACATATGCAGTGAGCACTTGTCTTTAATTGCTAGCTCTATGAAATTACTTGGAGTTAATCTATGCATTGTTCATTAACTGTTCACAGCAGATATATTTTAAGGATTCACCGTTCAAACTCAGTGATTGTCCATCTAAATTGTATGCATATGTTCTCTTTTTTATCATATTTTTAATACAAATAATCTTTTTAGTACTGCTGTATCCCAGTGTTTCCTCATTCTTCCTTAATTTTCTTTGTGTAGTTTCTGTTTCTTATGATTTGGCATCTATAACATTTTTATTTATTTTGTGCCATCCTACTCCTGAAATGGATTTTATTCTTGAAGACTAGAAATAAAATGGATTTTATTCTTGAAGAATAGAAATCTATTTTGAATCACCTTTTCAAGCCCAGTGGTTTTAACCAAGTGCAGTGATATAAAAGGGCAAGATTACCAATCACATCAGTGGTCAACAGAGGAGATTAGGAAGGAGGATGCATCTCATTAATTATACACATTCATAGCATAGCTCTACATGTGAGCTTCACCCCCATCACCTCTTATGCTATATGGAGAGAACAAGCAGCTTCCACAGTGTGATTTAATTAATTTTTAAATGAATGTCTAAAATAGGTTAGGTGAATTGCACCCTGAAAGACCATATTTCTCTGCACTGTCGAGGGAACTGGGGGGGGGTGGGGGGGGGGGAGGGTGTAAGATCTAGAGCTGTACAGTGGAGCAATCAAGTTGAGGGTGATTAATTCCATCCCAGGCTAGCAAGTGCACTGTTATTGACCAAGCATCTAATATTTGCTTGAGCTCCATTGACTTAATCAGGACCCTAGAGCATATATCAATGCATTGTAATTTATTTGATAAGCAGAAGATTTTAGTGATTGCTTTCCTGAAGCTTTTTGCAGTTAGAACCATATTCCTGTAAAAAATCAATAGTGTTCCTGTAAAAAATCAATAACATCAAATAAGTTGAAGTACAGTGTCTAAAGTCATAGCCACGATAAGGAGGCTAGTATAATTTTATGTATACTTTTAGGTGCACATTCAAAGAAAATTGTACACGTTCAAACAGCTTAAAGGGTTGGTATAATATTTCACATGCACCTGATAAAGATCTGAAAATCCTGCTAAGTTTCCCTGCCAAAAATCAGGTATGTACACCCACTTTTATGTGTGTTTATTGTGACTTAAAACGTGTTATTTTGTCGCTTATTGCAGCTTCCTTTCTTTTGTCACTATGTTCCATATACTAGTCCCTCTTATCTCAACAATTGACAAATGTATTGGGAATCCCAGTAAGTTGAATGTGTCAATCAGATAGATGTTCTCTTACTTTCCTATAAAATGTATCCTGAAGCTATACTTCATAATGCAGAGTCAAAAATTCACCGTGCTGACAAAGGCAACATTTCCATTATATCACTTTATCAGCTATTTTAATATTTCCAGTGTCTATATATCAAGTGCATTATGTAAGTTCTGAGCTTTGTAACAAGTTACAAAACATTCACTGGGACACATATGCTAACACAAATGCATCTTTAAGTGTTTGATATTAGTATTTACTCAGTATCTGTTCACAGCACACACAGCCTTGAGTATTTGATTATCAAGTATTGTGACTGGCCACTTAATCTGCATGCTATTGTTTCTGGTTTCCTGATTGAATGCACTAATGTGATCATATTTGTAAAGCACTCTCAGTCAGAAACAAAGGATAATTCATTACAACACAAATTCTGTTTCATAATTAAGTGCACTTTGGTTATGGGTGCAAATGTCTCTGTGAGGATTTCTACATTCTTGCTCAAATATTTTTAAGGGACTATAACAGTATATAACACCATTACAGCAAAATTCTTGGTTTAAAATCCAAAACTATTCCGGATTGCTCCCCTAACATGCCTTACAGATCCATTTAATTTCTGCAAGTAAGCAATGCTGTTCTTTTCAGGACTTTTTCTGTATTGCTTTTTTAGTTGGGAGAGGCCCTGTCCTTTGAGAGGCTACATAGTGAATTGTCTGCTTCCACCACAAAAATTTTCATTTTGTACATTTTGTAGTTTGTCGTTTTCTGCAAAAACAAGGCGACGACTTAACAAGTATTACAAGAAATCTGCTGTATTCTTGTTTTTATTGTTCTGTAGGTTGCTGTGGCTGCAAGCATAAGCAAAACCCTTACTTCCTGTATGATAAAAATTGTAAAACCTGTTGAAATATTTTATGAAAATGTAGTGCTGAAAAACTCATCCTGTTTCTGCAATCTAACCACTCCAGTGATAACTGATAATGGTATGTCTTACTATTACATGTATTTATTGCTTATTCACTGTCCTTTATTACTGAGGAGAACTGAGCATAAATACAGGCCTAGTGAGTGTGAGAGTAGGTAATGTTTTTTATTACATGTCATTGAAAAAATTAATTAATGTTTTGTCAAGTGATTTGAGTATACTCACACTATTCTTGACAATTAAAAGATTTGTTAATATGGAATCCTTTCTAGGAGTTACAAAACATGTTAGCCTATGGCTAGAAGCAGCTTCTTCCTTTCAGCATACAACAGTGCAGTGTTTTAGCATGAGGAGTGTATTTACGTGGTGCCATTAATCACTGTCTAAGGAAAGTTAAGATAGCTGCAATGACAACGAAGCTGGCTGGAGCTATGGAAGCAGTTTTGGTTCAGTGCTCTGTCTTGACAAATTAACCCATCTTAACCCTTCTCTCATCTGCAAACAGAATTTGTTTTTGCAAGAAAATATGCTAGCATAAATAAGAGAAAAATTTGACTACGAGTATCTGTACAATAAATAATCTTAACATTCAATTAACTGTTTCAACTTAACTTAGACACTTGTGAGAAAGTGATTGTCCCATGAAGAAGATTAGCAGAAAAATACACGGTTCGGGGCAGTTTGGCTGGTACATCTTTTTGACGTGATTTCATTCATCTTTCTGAATTATTAGTTGAATCATTTTGCAATAATTCTTATACTACCTTGTTCACCAGTAGTTCTCAGAATTAGAGACCTGAGCCATTCGTATGGGACACATGATGCATGTGATGTGTTTTGTGCATCTGATGGGCAACTACAGGTTTTAGAGTGAGGTGGTAAATTACTGAATGTCTAGACTTTTGAGCTGTTCTCTAGGCTTTGGTCTCAAAGATCAGATGATAATCCTTCACAGTAGAGTCTTATTTGGCTGATAGGAGGAAAATGTCCCCCTTGCATTGCTTCAAATGTCTGTATAGAAGCACAAAGCTTTTTTTAATACAGGTTGGCCTTATACCTTTTTAAAGTTGCTTATGTTAGAATACAAAAGAGAGTTTTAATCTAATCTGAGGGACAAAGATAACAAGCTCAAGGATACCATGTGCTCTTAAGTGACTTGAAGAGGAAACCAAAAATTCGGATTAATGCTGTCTTTATCTTTTCCTAGATAAGATAGCCCAAAAGACATGTAATACTCTCCATGACTCTGATTCTTATAATACCTTTGTGTAGAAAGAGGAATGAAATGTGAACCAGAACCTACAAAGACCTGTTGTTCTGAAGAGCTCAGTGTCACAAAGACTTTCTCTCAGGGACCCTTGCCCCTGAAGGAGATTCCTTGGAATGTTGGGATCTCAGGAGCTCATCCTAAGGCCTTTGTAAGGGAAAAGCTCCTCTGGCATCATACAAGTGTTGTGTCAAGTTCCTGTCCAATATTGATTTGGGAATCAGGATGAAAAGACTTTGTCATTAGCAGGTGACAGCTAGGATAATATCCGTAAGTATTCTGGTCTATTAAGCTGTCTTTAGTAAACACTAGTAGTAGATTTTTAAGAGGGACAAATGCATTAGAGAAGAAAAACATGTCCTTTATTGACCCAGTCCCCAAAACCATGTTTTCTTATAATAATGGAGGACGTTGTTTTAATTCTCTGTCTTCTTGGACTAAGGCTTTCTCTTACTCCATTAGCAGGTTTTTGAAGTATAGCGTTACAGATGCCAGCTCACCTTGCCTGTGCTTTGTGCCAAAGATGAGCCCTTTGACAGTGTTAACCAGAAGACTGTGAACTTAGCTTGTGCCCATCAATATTACTGCCACTCACATGCTCCTATTAGCTGAGATGTATTAGTGTATAATGCACGTGTGGAAGTTATGTTGACTACTTATGGTAACTAATGTAAAGTGACCTCAATCTCACAAGAAGATGCACTTGCAAAACTCCTTCAGGTACCATTTCTGGTAAAAAAACATTTTGAAAATACCTGCTACTCAGGGCAATCTGGTGCATTTTGAAAGGTCAGCACCAGGCCACAGAGAAAATAATAGGTTCCATTAATTTCAAAACAAACAGAATCAGGAAACTGTATTTAACAGTGGTGTTCTTAAAGTATTTGTACAAACTTAAGCAAGAAGACAAGCTCTGCCAGAAGGAGATAAATTACTTGCTTTTACTTACTGCTCCTAGTAAAATACTGTTTTTCAGTAGCTCATGGCTTGAGACCCTTCTCGTATAATGACCTAAGCAAATGATTTAGGCAATTCTGTGCTCAACATGTCGGATTTCTGCAGATACATAAATTTCTGGAGATGCAAGTAGGTGATTGGTGAAGGATTTCAGAATGTCTGTGTGTGCTCATTCACATCTCCAAGCATTAAAACACCTTTAAAAAATCAGTCTCTTTGGTGTCCATTTAGTAAGGTATTTAGGCATACAAACAATCCCAAGAGCTGTTTCTAACAAGCAGTGCAGGTGACATTTACAGTGAGCACCCAAGTGCCATGCTGATGTGTGGAGCTAGGAGATGCTTCTGATTTAACAATGTAGTTGCAGCCAAAGCTGGTTTTCATCTGAACAAGCCAGCCTGTGATAAAGACAAAGCTTTCTCTACATTTTTAAGGTAGATATACTTTAAATCTGTGTAACTTTTCCAGATTAAAAAGTTATCTACTTGCTAGCATAAAGTCTGCAAACATGGGTTTCATTTGATCTCAGACAGTCATTCATTTCACAGACGTACACATCTGCAGGCACACAGATGAAAGGGACCATGGCTTAAGTGGTATATGTCTAACTCTACTTTTCGATGTGGTATTCTGCTCATAGGAGAAGATACTCTTTCATTCCACAGCTGCCAGTGAATTGTCGGTATAGTAATTGCTAGCTGAAATAATGGCAAATTGACTCATGCAATCATAAAAGATTTAAATAGGATGAAAATTGCTACTGCATAGATTACAAAAGAAGACTCTGAAACCAAGTTTCTGAGACACAAAGAGGGAAATGTATGGTGTGTTGGGGTTTCTCACATTAGAACAGTCTGTTGTGTTAGGAGGCTGGAATTTGGGGTCTGGCCATGCCACATTATACCACTGTGTACTCACCGGGAGATGGTTTTATATCCCTGCTCCATGGTAGCATTTTCTTATCTGTATCCTGACAATAACATTACTTTTGTATGTCATGCAGTGGTGGCGTCAAGCTTAATTAATGAGTGTGTATAAAGTCTTGGAATAACTCAGCTGAAGGGTGCTATGGAAGGACAAAATCTAGTTATTTTTATCAGTCAAAAGTGTGAGTAAATGTATGAGGGAAGGTGCGTACCATGTAGAGAACAGCTGAAGGCACATGAGCTTTTGATTCAATTATTTTTTTACAGTTATTTCTTGTAATATCCAGTATATGTCTAACAGTCACGTTTTTCCAGATTGTCTAGTTCTCGAAGCATCGCTGTCCTCAAGCTCTTGGAATATCACACAAACATTTCGTTTGAAAAAGTAAGAGCCTGGTTCCTATTGAAGTTTATCGAGGGATTATATGTGTGCGGGGAGAGGGGCTGAAGCATGATCATTCTCTTTTTTTTGGTATTTATTAAGGAAATACATTTTGCTAAAGATAGTCACACCCCTTTCCTTGGCTCATTTCTTCCTTCTCTTTTTTTATTGTCCTTAGAAAGCTACTTCTTCTGATGACTCTTTTAGTTAGCAGGACCCTGGCACTTAACTGTAGGAGAGTCATTACAATGACTGAATTTATGACAAGTGCCTGAAGAGATAACAAAGGATGTCACAATGACATTAAAATCCTTTTTGTCCTTGTGAAAAAGGTGGATCCCTGGTACTCAGGATAAGATCTAGATCAGAGGAGTCTAGAGATTCTGTAAAAGTCACTTTGTAGAGCTGGTTTTTAATAGAGCCAGATGCAATCTAAATATGGTCCATAGGTAATATGAATACAGTTACACCAGAAGGTAGCATCTAATTTGTTAATAGGAATAATGAACACCTACTGTTCTGTACACATTGTTTTTCAGAGCCATGCTCTTTGTTGAGAGCTCACAGTAGAAAGCATTTGTGCCCAGTACATGGCCTAACCCTATATGATATGTGATTGTTAATACTTAGAAAGATCTGACTAGCATATGGTGTAGGTAACTACAGTGTTCTCATTCAGAACGCTATTCCCCTGTATAAAGAGGCTAATTCATAGGTACCTGGGATGAAACTGAACTTCTGCTTTTTGGGAAGTGACACATCATTTCCCTGTCCCTGGAGCAACACAGGGAAGGAGCTGTCTTTTTCTAAATCCGAGCATTTTCCAGCATGCATGGAGAGGACCTGCACTGCTCTTGGCTCTCCTCTGTGACAATAGATGCATTGCAAAGCAAGACAGGGACAAACTAGTCTCCAACAGGTGTATTTTTTGGTAGGGGATAGCAATAGCAAATTAGCAATGATTGCTAGCACTACACACACAGGCAGGCTGTGAAAGAATCAGTAATGGGTTTGTGCCCTTTTCTGGTTAAAAAGTACTGTCTGTCCACTTACATCCTGGAGAAAGCCACAGCAAAATGAAACCCAAAGTGTTCCATCTGCTTCATGCTTTTTGGAAATTTATGACTCTCAGCGTCTCAGCACAGATTGTATTTCATACTAAATTTGTCTTCAGAATAAGCACAACAGAACAATAGCCTTGGAGGGTAAATGCAGGTTATGTGTTTTACTCATTTCATTACATGCTTTCCAAGTTGTTTTCTTGGGTTTGTGCTTTTTTCTGTCATTTGAAATTTCACATTCATGGCGGAATCTAGGTTGAGTTCCTGTGTCTTACAAAAACTCTCTTTTGTGTGTTACCAGCTGCTCACGGTGTATACACAAGGGTGAGTGTGCCAGCTGTAAATGGATGCGTGTCTCTCCTGCCACCACCTGCCAGGTGAAGTTTGTTGGGGAGGATGGGAATCCCCTGTGATGCCTTTTCCTTGTATTTTTTTACATCTGAACAGCAGTCTGTCTCTTTCTTGTCCTGACATGAAGAAATGCTCATTTTTTTTCAGGATAGTTGTAATGCAGCTGCTTCCAAGGAGATCGCCACTGCGCAGAAAGCAGAGGTTAGTTAGCATTTTAAGGGTGTCATTATTGAGATCCCGTGGGTTGGGGGAGAAATTTCTTTAAAATGAGAGGACTTTGCAGGAAAAACAGAGATATGGATGAGGATGCAATCAGCTGTTTACATAGAAAGGTAATGCAGAATTTGGATTGATACTGTTTTTTCTTAGTGCTTTGTTGCTGCTTAAAGGTACCCACAAAGATTTGCCTTTCAGGTCCAGGCACTGAGGCATTGAACACTGCAATAGTCATGTGCCTACCACTAGATGCAATACTTAACAATATTGCTTTAAATGCCAAAGTGCCTGTATGCTGTACTTATGTACTCCACAGGAGCCAGCATGTGGAGGGCTGGGATGTATAAGCCAACCAACGGTGAAAAAAAACAAAGGAGAACATCTCGGACTTAATCTCTTACCTAGACCTAAATGCATGTTTGAGTTCTGCTGCCACAGACAACTCCATGAAACTAGGTTTCAGAGTCTCAAACCTTTTCCTCATTTTATGCAGCCAAACCACAACTTCTCCTGAAGCGTAGCTGCCAGGGGAGCAGAAGGAAGGGGAGGATGTGCCACGCCGTTTCTGCATAACAGACAAGTGGCTAGAGAATGCATCTAGGAACTGAAAACCCTGGGTGTTAGTAAATCCATGGTTCACACTTCCAGAAAAATTTTCCTTCCTTCCAGGCTGTAGACAAAACTGGATATGGAGCTACTCTCCATCCGTCCCGCTCCAGCTGGATCACTGGAAAGGAAGGAGTTTTGCTGGTGCCAAAGTGCCTTCTGAATCTGGTGGTTGAGTTCTCTATTGAAATCATATAGACTATATGTGAGCATACAGTCTATATGATTTGCCTTGTAGGCCAGCCCTTTAACCACGAGGTTATCCCTTCATTATTTATTGTGCCAAAATGCTTTTATTTTCTCATAAAACTGAGTGATCTTGTCATCAGTGGTTCCTTATGACATGCAGGTGTTAGGAAAGAAATGAGTAGTGAAGAGAAATTTGACTGATGAGTAAGTACATAGAGATTTGCTGCCTACACTTTTTGGTTTCTGTTTTTCTGTGAGTGATAGCATGGTTGGTATAAATAGCAACTGTGTTCTTATCTCTAAATGTTTTGTTGGAACTACCCAAACTTTTACCTATGTAGACAGGAATTACCTCTTAAATTCAGCTGTTCAGCTGAGGTTTCTTAAACAAAATCACAAAATCCATTTTGTTTTTCACAGAGATCAGTGGGATTGTAATACTTGTGCTTCTGAGCATTAATATTCTGGATTTGGTCTGCATATAAAGCATTACGGCTGGTGAAAGAATAGAGGAAATTCTTCTTTGCTCTGCTTCCAAGTGCATTAATTTGTCATTGGTAAATAGTTGGAACTGCCTGGGAGATGGCTTTCTTCCACACGCCTTATCTCAGAAAGACAGTGATGGACAAGGCAGTGAAAGCGCTAGAGGCAGTCCAAAGGCAGATGTTTATTTAGAAGTGATTGATCCATTCAGAGGGCTTGAAATTGCATTTGAAATCCTGCTCTCCTCTGACTGCTGGTGCTTTAAGGAGAACATACTGGAGAGCAGAGAAAGAGGATTTGTGTTTTCCCACAACCCCAGCTGAGCATTTAGATTAATATACCCTTTTTTCAGTGGCAGCCCTGGCCCTCCTCCTTACTCCAGCTGCTGATTTCCATGCGTGCACCTTCCCCCTCCCAGCGCCAGAGCAGCAGTTGGAGGGGTTGCACGAGTACGCTTGACTGGGGAACTGATTTGGCTGGAAATAACCGTTGCCTTTTGGCAGGCTATTTTTCATCTGGGTCAGTTCCCCAATCCACTTCTTCCCATGGCCTCAGGACCCAATGCAGGAAGGGCTGTGCCTGAGTGGGGACAAGCTTCTTCAGGGTGTTAGAGGCTGCTTAACCTGGGCCGCTGCCAGATACCGACCTGCAGCCATGCTAACCACACCTCTGAGGATGTGGCTGCCACTGTTTACACAGCCCCAGGGAAGCATTAGGCTGTCCAGGGGAGAGGGAGGGGGGCTGCAGCTCAGAAATGTGGAGCTCTGCTGAAGTTGACAGGGCTGTGCTGATTTACGTTACCTGAGGACCTGGCGTGTGCTTTCTGTACATCTCTTGTGTTTGCACTGCTTTCGTCACATGCCTCACAACTAGTGATTTTTATAAATAACCTTCTGTCTTTCCGCTGTCTCCCTTCCTCCTTGCTGCTGGGCGTCTCTCCCCCTGCCATGCAGCAACTGGAAGGTCAGTGGCTCTCTGGCTCTGGGGAAGTGAGCACCACAGGCCCCAGCGAGGACACTTTGTCCCTCCTGCATTCAGCGAGGAAATTCACAGTTCCTTTTGCTGCTGAGGAAAGTGTTTCAGACCATGACCAGACAAGCAGGCTCTCGAGTAGCCGAGGCCAACTTGCTTCAGCTCTGCAAGTGACTGCACTGATGCCGTGAGTCTGAGGCACGATGCGGTGAGGGAGTCCGTGTCGTGTAGCTGCAGGGAAGGCATGATTTCAAGGGGGACTGAAACTTTCAGAGTGAACCATTCTTCTCACAATTTCTTTTTGGTGTAAGAAAAGAAACAAGACAAGCTAAGCTCAGGTGCTCAGTGGTGTGTGGTGCCTGGCAGAGCGACCAGCAGGAGCCCTGTAGTGCTGCAGCGTCCGGCCACAGCCCTGGGCTGGGGGTGCCTGGCGTTCCCCTCACCAGGGCTCACAGCCCTCATGCAGCTCTGGAGGAGATCTCCGTGTGTTTGTGTGATGCTGTGTTATTCCTGTGCTTCAGGGCTCCCTGCTGGTTACCAGTGAGAGGTCCAAAGCAGTGTTTTAGTTCATTCCTGTAGTATTTGGCTTCTGGATTTGTGTGAGGGTATTGGCTGTCCTTGGTGCACTGGAGGCTGGGAGCAAGCAGAGGGACAGGACACAGGTGGAGGAAAGCACTGGTGCTTCCCTTCAGTTGTCCCCCTGACATACTAAGGGTTAAACAGATCCCCAGGTCAGGGTGGGAGTGAATTTCTCCCCCTCAGGCTGTTTGTCAGGCGTTTCTTTTGCCCTCATCCATTATCCACACCAGAGGTCATCTTGGAGGCCCCTTTGGTGGAGCCGCTCTGGCCCCAGCCTTTGCACTCTCTTGCCCTTTCCTAAGGCACAAGTTGCGGCTTTCAATCAGTTGTGACAGGTCTTGGGCACTCCGTCATTCAGCGGTCCATGGCAGCATGTGGGGACAATGTGCCGGGGACCTTTCTGAAATGGGCAAAGGCTGTGTTTGCAGAGGGTGGCGATGTGACCCGGGTGGTCCCCTCAGGCCACTGGCCCGAAAGTCTTGGTGCTGATCTGGGTACATGAAAAGATTAGTGGGAGAAAAACCCTGTGGGAAGGACTTTCCCCTTCTCAGGGTTGGGAAGGCTGAACTGGTGCACAGCAGTAATCAGGATAATCACAGTACTTTAAAAGCAAGCTAGAAATCATTTCCCTGAGAAGGTCCCAAACAGTTTGTGGTTTTACATGCGTATTTTCCTGTTGTTTTGAATGTTTTCAGTTTATACAGAGAGGAAACTGTCTGTGTGATTATAAAAACTGGGGAAGCAGCAAAACTGATTAAACATGAGATGCTGTCAAATTTATCAAGTAAACACTAGGGAAAAAAATCTCTCTTCTTGCTTAGTAGTGTTAGTAAGTTTGAGTAAGCAAATATAAAGATACACAAAGAAAAGCACAGATTAAAAATTGGCCACATTTCTGCAAGACTGTGGGAGCATCAAAGCAAACTAGGATTATTCTTAAATGCTGGAAAATAGATTTGTAAACTTCTTAGCATCAAAATGGGATACCAAAAAGTCCTCACAGTTGTGTTGTACCTTTAGCTCTATGTATGATTTTGAAAAGCCTTTCTAGTAAAGCTAGTTCTGGGGCTCTTTCTCGACTTTTCATTCTAGGATTTGACCCTGCTTCCCCTTTTCAAGTCATGAGAGATGCCTTTGTTTGTTTCACTGATCTGTCATAGTGACAGCACCATGGGTTTTGTCTTGCGTTGTTTCTTAGTTCTTCAAGGGTCACACAAAATGTATCGTTTCAAGCTGGGTTTTCGATACTTACCTTCCAGTATGTCAGATTGTGATTCTTTTGGGCAGCTTTCTTATAAGATAAATTGAAATATAAAATATGTAGATAGAAATAATTGGCATGTAAATAAGTTGCAATTGACTGTACTTCCAAAGATGGAGCTTAACAAGATTTGAAATTAATAAGGAAAATATATCCCAGTGCCATAAAACACACATTCCCGAGTGGTGGTTGTTCTTGCAGCTATTGTTTAACTGCCTAGCCCTTTTATAACCAGATTTTGTTTTGCTTTGTTTTCTAATAGCATATCAGCATTCACTCCATTGAACCTTTGTGGATTTCTACATTAGGGAAAAGTGAAATAACTGTCAAAGGAGAAAACTTTACACGTGCATCAGGCATAAAACTGATACTGACTGGAATCACTGGCTGTAAACCAGACATGTAAGTTAAGCTCTGAAAAATAATAATATTTATTTTTCATGGTGAAAAGTATGCCTATTTTACCCTAGCAATACAGTTGTGTGAACAGTTGTCATGGTCCTCTCCTCAGCAGAGCAGGGGATGCTCTGCACTCCTTTAGTTATACTTCCACTTCAAAATCCCAAAGGATGGAAATTAATTTGGTGTTTGGGTGCAATACAAGGGGTGGATGGGTAGGTGAACAGTTCTCTTAGCAGTAGTAGGACAGTTCTGTACCTGTGGCCCTCAGTGTCTTGCAGCAGGCAACAAGAAGTTAGGTCACAGGAAAGCCTCAGCTTTTGTTTGACTCTCTTCTGCTTGAAAATATTCCCCATATGTTCTAGGATCCTGCTTGTGAAAGCACAAACACCATGCCAGGGAAGGGAATCTCTCATGCAACAGCTTGTACTTTTCTCTGTTGATGATTGCACAGTGTAACCCCCTAGATAATGAGGCTATCTTATTCCAAATCAGCCATTTTCAGGTGCAGCTGCAATGGCTGCCTGTGATTATCAAGCCCATTTGACATAGCTATCATTTGAAAACGTATTCATATGGTACTGTTCAATTTTTACTTCAACCATGAACTTCCTGGGGACCGCAGAAAACAAAAGGAGAGGAGGAAGAGAGGGGAAGGAGGGAGAGAGAAGAAGTAGAGAGAAAGAGGAAGGAATGAAAGGGAACAAGGAAGTGGGAAAGAGGAAAATAAAAAGGAGGAAAAGGAAGCTGAAGATTCTCATTCTTTACTAGATCATGGACCATGTTGGTAGCGAAGAGAAGTACACAGTAAAGAGCAAAATCACACATTGCATTACATAGTCTCATGCCAAGGCCATAAGACCAATATCTATACTGTCTTCTGTGATTATTGCAGCACATAGCAACTTCATTCAAAAGATGCCCTACTTTGTCTTTTCAACTCCCTGCTCTGTCTTTCCACCTCCATCCCACGGCTCAAAGAGAGATTTTCTCTTTTTTCCTTATCCTTTGCTTTAGGTTATAGGCTTTGTGTAGTAACACCAGTGAGTGGCATAGTGACATCTGTGTTTCAGTGTCTGTTTTGTTTTCTCCTCCAGCATTAAAGTTAGAAATGTGCTAAATGATACACAAATGACATTTGCTCTCCCACCAACACGTAAAGAGGCCAAAAGTATCTGTATACAGGCTAATGGGAAAAAGTGTTCACCACCAGTGACCCTGCATTATGTTTCACTGCCATCATGTTTTCGAATCACACCAAATACCTCCTGGATCAGGTAAATTTGTCTTTCTATACTTTTTATATATTTATTAAAATGTAGTCCCACTGAGCCAATATGAGCCTCTTCCTTGGCCAGACTGTAGCTGATGTAAACTTGGATGACTGCTGTAACCTGTTGTGGGGTTTGAATTTACGCCGGTGAACTGATTTGATGTTTAACAGACAGATAGGGTTATGATGGCCGCAAGACAGATTCTGTGTTCTGCAGGATTCTGTAAACTTCTTCCTGCCCACCCCAGGTCTCCTTTGTAGGAGTCAAAAATAGTCTCTTCATACTAAAACTAAATCCAAAATATGAGTAGCATGCATAAATTCAAACTCCAGTGAACTTTGATTTCTTGATACTAATACACCCTTCCCCTCCAAAGCGGTATGAAGTAACAGTGAATTGGAAATGAAGTGAAAATAATCACAACTGCAGTGATATGTACAAACATGCTTTAGGACTGGGTTCCCTAAAGCCAAACGAGCCCTTCTCAAGCCTCTGATGTGTTCTGTAAGAGACTCACAGCTCTGGTGAAAGACTTACAAGGTGGTTTTGAGAGATTCTCAGGCACAGCTTTCTACCAGTCCCTCTGCCTGCACAGTTTTTACCTACTTACATGTTCTTAATCTGATATCTTGGCATCAAGCACTGGCAAGTGTGGAGTTGAGGTAATGAATTGGGCGGGCAGATGCAGCAGCTGAGCAGCTCGGATGCATGCCCTCATCTCCAGGTGAGAGGGAGCTCAGGCAGCTGGAAATTAATAATACCTTAAACCACTCCAACTGTGTTCAGCAGAGATTGTGAGCCAGAGCCCTCAGACACAAGCACCATTGTGTGTGATAAGACAGATGGTCTGAACACTGCCAAGCATGTTTCCTGTGAGGTGCCTGGCACCATCAGTTCGTCCTGAAGAAGTCAAGAATTAAGCACAGGCAGGGCTGTGCTGGGGCAGTGAAATACCATAATGCTTTTCTTTCAAGACAGGATATTAAATCACGGTCTAGTTCTTTGGCTGCATGAATAGAAAACAAGGTGGAGAGTCCTTGAAAAGGTGTATGCATGTGTATGTTATCAAGTCATTTGGGTCTGCGGTAGCAAAAGTATTTACTATGACATTGTGAGGAAAGAATGAAAGTACACTGTATAGCTCAAATTATCTTGTCCTGCAGTTTGACTTTATTATATTGGCTGCTACCAGAGCAAAATACACGAGTAGTTTATTCACGGCTGAAGCCTTAATGCAGGGCTTATCTGTGGGAAAATAGATAATACTAACCTCCCTTCCACTCCACTCCCCCACTCCCCCCCCACCCCTTTTTTTTTTTTACAGTGGTGGTCGCAAAATTACTACGATTGGTAGAAATTTTAATGTGGTGGACAGTGTGATTATTTCAGATGACCAGAGATCAAACCTTACTGTAAGTCTAACTCTCCTTTACAATACCAAATAGAGGTCTTTTGAGGGATTAGGTTTCGTTTCTAAGGTTTCAGGAGAGCCTCAGTATTTTTCAAATACTTATAGGCACACATCAGTCACCTTACTGAAATAAATACGACCACTTGTAGGATTATAGTTGTACCCGTTCTCAGTATGAGATCATGGATGCACATATAAGGTACTCTCCTGCATAATTCCCTGAGTCTGTTTTCTATGCTCTGGAGGCTTGTTCCAAATCTGTCCTTTCTGCGTCTCCGCACCCTCCGTATTGTATGGGAGGAGGGGGTGCTGTACTTCTCTCTGGATGTACTTTTCTCTCTGATGTACTTTTCTCCTGCTGAGAACCCAAATGGTGCCACTGCCTCAGCAAGGGGCAGCAGACTGGAGTTGATGTGGGGGGCAAAACCCTTTCTCTGAGACCGTGAGGAGGTAGGCACCTACCTGAGGAGGTAGACTTCTGGGCTTGCAGCACAGACACTGGAAAACAGCAGCACCACCCCATAGAGTAAACAATGGCTTTTGTGACTGTAGCAACCCCCCTCTCTCAGGAGTTAAACTGGGGAGAGGCAATGCCCAGTGGTGCTGGAGAGCTCCTCCTGCTCTTCTCTTGTCACCTGCATTGAAGGGCAGGAAGGAGAAATCACTGTCACTATTCCTGTCTCACTGCAGGAAATAGCTGCCTTAGCAGTGTGCAATCAGCCTTAAAACAGCATGCAGAGTGTGTGATAAATGTGCTTAAAGGTAGATGTAAGCTGAACACAGAAATTTTCCCAGGTGCTCTGCATGCAGCCCTGATCGCAGAGAAGAGGTTTAGCAAATACCTGTGTAAAGTCCGGAAGACATTATCAAATGATTTTGAGTGCCTCTGTTTGTAATTGTACCCACTGTTGAGTACTTAATGACTGTTACAACTTTGCTATTGCATTTCTAGGTCTCTAAGTGTCCTGGAAATGAATCTGAATATCATTACTTAACACCAAGCCTGAGCCATGCAACAGAGGGTAAAGTTGTTGATATGATGTTAAAAGTGGAAACTACCTTTATACCATGTGTCAAATTACACTATCACCCTGACCCAGTGTTCATTAACTACCAGCTGCACACTGAGCTGGATCCTGATCTGGAATTAAAAATATATGTAAGTTTGAAAGTAATAAACTATAATTCCTCATTTAAAATAGTTGTTGGGGGTTATTTTATTTCTTACTGTATTTAGTGACTGTTTATTGTGTTAATTTTTTTCCTTCTAGAAAGAAAATGACAACTTGAATATTTCTAAATCTGAGGTAGAGGTTTATCTGTCATACATGAATGGTGCACAAACCAAAAAGATATGGTTCAATGTCCAAAATATTACCAAAAAGCCAGACCGTAGCACCATACTGTGCAAATTCAAAAGGGAAGGAACAGACAAGATTGACTTTTCCACAGTGAAAGTTTTTGTAAGTAGAATTCCCTTTTGTTGCAATTCAACATTGTTTGGATGTTTGTACAGATGTAATAAAATGTAGCATTAATGATCTCATCCTGCGTGTTCTTTATAGAGGGAGGATCTGGATGCATTTTCTGCTCTCCTGGTACTTGGTAGTACAGTTATTTTCCTCATATTTACGCATGCCTGCTTTGGTACTGCTAACAGCACTGAGTTCATCTACTGTCTGGTTACTGCTGTAGTGTCAGAGGTAGGCTTTGCAGCCCAAACTGATCTTACCGCTGCTGAGGTCCAGGAGAACAGTAGCTTGTTCAGCACCACACAGATTTCACCGCTACAGCATCGCTGGCTCCAGAAGAGCCCCTTATCTTAGATCTGTAAGTAATCTGCTGCTGCAGTGTGGCTGTGAGGAAGAGGATTGTGTCTTCCCTTTCACTTTTTCTTACTAAAGTAGATAAGGATCTTGAACAGTGCATAAGGATCATCACTAGGACAGAAGAGAAGGCATTTCTGAATAAAAAGGGGGGTGAAATTCGATGTGCTTTGGGAAGGCCAAAGTGCTTTGAACATACGGCACAAAGCCAGGCCCAAATATAAGAACATTAGCATGGATGTCAAAGCTAAATGGCAGCTTAAGATATTTGCTCCATGAATAAGATGAAGATACGAATTTTTTAAAATGCAATCATCACCATTTATGAGGGAGAAGAATGATGCCAGACTCTTATTACAGTGTATGGTGGTATAAAACTGAAATAACTCTATTGACTTCAAGGCATATGGCTCATAGTAAAGATTAACGAAGCTATTCTCAATTTCATACCACTGTTAACTGATCCCCCATCTGTGGATCCTGCCGTCTGAGCCAGTTATGGCATGGAAAAGCCTTTCTGAGATTGGTGTTGCATTTAAATATTAACATTGCCTTGCAAAATCACATGCTCACCCTGCAAGCTTTATAGGAGTGACTGTCATAGAAAGGTCAGCACTTCACTAAGGCAAATCAAATGCAATAGTTTTAATGTAACATTTCACTTCTTAAAAATTATTTTTTCTGACATCAAGAAAAATGTAAAAGTGGGAAATCATCACATGTTTTTTCAGTCTTATAAATAAATCACCATAGGAGAAGTAGGGCTACTCTGAAGAAAGGATAAGCTGGGTATAAAAGATAGGTATGGCCCAAGAATAAACATATCTCTTGCCTTGGTTTTCAGGAAGAAAGAGGATATTGAGCTTGTGGTCAAAGACAGGATGATCAGTCTGAGTGGAGATGTCAAAGAAGAAAATGCCATTCTTGTGGCAGAAGCAAGCTTCGGTTAGATCAAGGGGCTCAAGATAGCAGGAACAGGATCATTCCCATCAAAGCACTGAGAAAGAACTGGCACATGATGTTGTAGGCATAGTAGGAAAGATTTTAAATAGAACTCCAGTCAGGAGACATACTGTATGCCTGGAGAGCAGCAAATATAAAACCAGTATTTAAAAGGAAAAAAATAACTAGGCAAATGGAGGCTTGCTGATTTAATCCTAGCTCTATGTAGAGCTTTATAATGTATTTTGAATGAGGGACTCCTGAAAGACCTGGAGGTAAATGGAAAATGGGATAATTGTCAGCTTCCTTTTAATAAAGGCGGATTATGCTAGATATCTTTATTTCATACGATGAGTGATTTCCTCAACAGAAAAGCAATAGATCACATGTACCTAGAAGTCATTCAGTAAACTACTTAATGTGGTGATTATAGAGACACTAGGAATTAGAAAAACTGGATGTTGTGTATGGGGAGCTGACTCTGGGCAATGTTGATTTGCATACAGATACTGTTTAATATCACTAGTGACTTGAGCACAAAAATAAGGCATGTGTGAAAAACATTTGCTGATGACATAAAGCTCAGAGGCATTACCAGTTCAGAGGAGGTTTTATAATGTCGTGCAGGAAGAATTAAGTTAATTTAGGAATAGGAATTGGGTGAATTCAGGTATACCTTATTTAGTCTGTGATTCATAAGCAAGATAAAAGATAAGGAAAGAAATGGAGACACTGAATAGGAAGGTTATGTTGAAGATTAAAGATAATCTAAATATGAGCAGAAAATTAAATGCTTTATCTCATTTTTCAATAAGCAGGGATGAGTAATAGAAATTTGTGCTTTAGGAATGCTTTGGTTGGACATGACAAGTGGAGAAAGGCAGGTGTATTAGTCATGGGATGATTAATGTATTTAGCCACCAATGCATTTCAGTCTTGGAAAAGGCAAGTGCGATCGTAGGAAGGCTCAGACCAGAAGTACTTTGTATAGGAGCTGTGAAAACATAAACAACTGAGGAAAAAATAACATTGGATGGAGTAAATAGGTCTGCTTTGTCTTCTGCTCTTTGAATCACCAGAAACATGACGGCTGTGTCCTTCAGCTCTCTGTGGGGTTTCTTTGCTTGCTTGTGTCCGTGTGCTGCGATGTGACTATCCAGTTGGCAGTTTCCAGCTGCCCTGGCTGCTCACCTCCTGTGGCAAGCCAGTGACTGAAATCACCAGATCTCTGCCTTCCCTGCTGTAGCCCAAAATAATTTCAACCAAACTCTCCTTTTCAATTATCTCAGGCTCATGTCTATCCCTGGCACTTGGTGGTATTCTTTCTCTGTGTCAAAGCATATTTTTACTTCTAGTCTGTTTATAGCCTTAGCTACCCTTTATTTATGTGCTTTCACAGTCCTCTCTGACATCATCCTTTGTGAAATTTCTTCTGCCATAATTATCAGTGGTGAATGCCTCAGTTTGGCATCTGGCAGACTGTGTATTCCTAAGAATTAATGTCTTTGACAAGCCCATGGCTGTTGGGTGATGTTGTACACGTATTGTATGTTTCATTTGTTCTTAAGTGAACCTTCAAGAACGTTCTATGTCCTTCATAAAGAGGTTGAAACTTCTGCAAATAAATAAGGAAGAGGGATGATCAGCCAGGCATCTATCAAAAATTTTACTTCCCTCGTTATTAGCATGAGTCTTATCATACTTTTCTGCCCAGCAGAGTAACACTGTAAGTGCAAAGGGATGTTTTTAACTATCAACACATGCCTTCCTCGCTTCAAAATGCCAGAACGCTTAGCAGTGATTCTGAAGTGCATGAGCCACTTGGCCAGCTGGAGGCCAGATCTTGCCAGTCATTTGAGGGCTCTAGTTTGCAGCAAGAGCAATGGCAAAATTTGGTGCTGCATAAGGACCTCCAAATTTTTCTCTTGTTACTGCTCTGTTATCCTGCTTAAATATCAAATACACTAAAAGTTAAGTCTGTGCTGGTTCACATATGTTTTCCTGAATTACTGCTGTCTTTCCAGTAATCTGCAAAATCGGGGTTCTTCATGTGCCTCCAATGCATCTTTTTTTTTAATACATTAAATGTCATTTTAAGCAGTTACATAATATCTGTCCTCTATTAACACAGCCGTTATTTTTCTTCAGGTCAAATTAGGAAATTTTGAACATGAAGTCAAACCAACATCATCACACATCTATTTATATGTTCTTATTTTGCTACCTATTGTAGTGGGTGTCATTATAGGTAAGTACAATAATGTGTTTTCAGTTTTTTGTTTGCTGAAGGGTATAATCAGGATACATAAACACATATACAAACACACACACATTTGGGACTGCCACAGTCTGGTGGTTTTCCCATGTTCCCAGTAAGAGTGGACAAAGTTATCTCTGGTCTGGCGGTGAAGTCCATCTTGTCAGACTACAGCATGTTACAAGACAGTAGTTTTGGCTGTTCTTCTGGGATTACTCACTGTCATTTACTGAGGCAAGCCATAGGACTGACACCCGTGTGTCACAGCTTGGGCCCTTCCAGCAGCCAGAGCTGGGCTCCCCTCCGGTCCCCGGGGCAGATGTTCCCTAACAAACTGCTTATCCTCAGGCAGTGTTTGTGGTATTTCTGCTCAGTCTCATTTGGATCATTCATGGATTTGTAGGTCATTACTAAATTGAGGGGGGGAAATAGTTGTCCCCTCCTCCTTTCGTCACTCCTTTTTTCTGAATGTTTTGACCTGATTATATATTTGATAAATTTCCATTTATTGTCGTAAGTTTAGGGGTTTGTTCTTCTGTTTGGTTGGTTTTCTTTTTAAAAAGCGTATTATCTTTACAGGAATTATCTCTCATGCCTTTACTTTCTCAAAAGAAGCTTTAGAGAAGTTAACAATTTGGAGGTGGATTTCCTGTTCAGAACAGCTGTTTTTCCTGTTTAATCAGTGCTATTTTAAGTAGGTTGCTAGTAGAAGTGGTGGTTAGATTCTGTGTCTCACTGTGCAGGTTATACATAGCAGGGTGTGCTGTACTCTCAAATAAAGTTGGATTGACAATTCTAAGGCATTGTTAAAGGGAATGGTTTTTATTAAACACTGGGGTTTAGATCCAAATAACTTAAGGCCCCTGGGTGCCAGCACACTGACAACAGTAGAAACGGTAATCCTCCTGGAGAGTGCAAGTCTTTCTGTTCCTTAAAATAATATTCAAATATGGCTTGTATAGGGGTTGTCTGTTCTGCAATTTCCATACTCAGAATCTTTTTTTTCTTCCTTTTTAGCGGCATTCATAGTTACTAGATACAAATCCAAAGAATTGACTCGTAAACAGAGTCAGCAACTTGAACTGTTGGAATATGAGATTCGGAAGGAAATACGCGAGGGTAGGTCTAAAGAGCTTTATAGAGCTTAAGTACAGCATAATTTCTGAATGGAAACTGTCAAGAAGCTCATATTATATAAACATTTTAATTTTATAGCTGTTAGAATATTTTTGTGTTGTATCAAACTTCTTCAATGTTGGTGTGCACCGCAGTAGCAGATAGCACTGAGCTAATAAGATATCATGTAATATTTCCTTCAACAAAAGGGGAGAATAATAAATGGATTGGTACTTTCCCGCTCATAAGAGCTTCAGCTAGAAAAACAACCCCTCTTGCCCGAAAACTGTTTTTTTAAGGAACATCTATTGGGGCCAAGTTATAATTGTGAAGATGATGTTTTGTCAACTAAACTAACTCTCTGGGTGGGGAGGGGGGGTGCTTTTTCAGGATTTGCTGAACTGCAGATGGATGAATTAGACGTGGTGGATAGTTTTGGAACCGTTCCCTTCCTTGACTACAAACACTTTGCTCTTAGAACTTTCTTTCCAGAGGTAAATATTTACAAGCCTTTCAGTTGTCAGCCCTGCCTAATAATGAACAAGCTAGGAAGGTCAAGATCGAGTAAGTACTACACAGTAATTGCACATCATTTTCACAAGAAACTTTCCTTAAATCAAGAATTACCAAAGAACACTTAAGGCTGTACATCTCTATATTTAAGCAAGCCTAAATGCTGTAGATAAAGCACCATTGTTGAATTTTCAAGGGTTGTGTGTGCATCCATTTCTTTTTTGCCCAGCCACACTAAGCTGCCTGCCTTTCGGGCCATCCTAAATAAGCTATAATTTATCCACTGCTTTTTTTGTTACCATGCTTTCACTTTCCATGCTATAGCTAATTAAAGTAACAGTCAGGCTAGCTAACATGCTAGCTAATATCATGACAGATCCTAATTAGACTTGTGGGATGAAGAAATGGCTCTAAGGTCGTGCTGACTTTCTACTGCTGACAGACATGGTAAGACCTTGATTCAAAGGAGTGCAGGTCAAATGCTTAAAAATTACATATGCATAATCTTTGTACACTTTGAGTCCTGTTCTCTCACCAAAGGGAACTAGGAATATCTCTTCTGGTACTGCTGTGATGCCCCCAGTTTAATTTGCATAGGGTCATTAGGAGGTGTGAAGAAAGTGGACCAAGGAAATTCTACTTTCTGCATCTCTTTCCTTTCGGTTTGTTTTGTTGCCAGGCATATTAGCATTAAAATAGTGTTTTTATTTTTAGGAATGTATCTTTTCCTAGTGATAGTCCCCTGTCAAAACAGTAACAATCTGTAGAAGTTGTCTGGGTGGTAATGCTTTGCTTTATGCAAATAAAGAAAGAAAAAAAGGCATGAAGTCTGCCACTCTGCTGCATTATGTGAGGTCAGAAAGGGAAGGGCTCCTGTTTTGCCTTGACAAGTCTCGTGCCAGTGTGCATCCTAGAAATGATTCCAATTAGATTTTGTCTCGGTTTGAGATACTGATAGCACAAAGGTAAACTTGCCACTCTTAGCTCTCTACAGACATGCAGTGTCAGGCAAGTTATTTAATGTATTGTGTACCAATTTTTCCTGCTAAGTACTTAACCATTTACATTGCAGGAGTGTCCAAACATGCCTTGTGCTATGTGAATGTGGTAGGAGAGCAGTGCTCTGCTAAATAAATATTACAGATGAACGAAAAAGGCAATGAGGTAGTAGATTGCAACCGAGTATCAGAAGGGTTGACAAGAGGGTCGAGGTGACAAACCACCACTTCCCTCACTAACCTCATGTGTTTCAATTATGTCCATCTTGTACTCTCTGCCTTCCAGTGTGCTCAATGGGCTTTGTCTCATCTAATCTAAGCTGTTTAAACACAGACATCAAAGCTGTTCACTGAGCACCTTCTGTAGTCAGTGCAGAGACAGGCAGCTGAAGAAAGTGATTCATCCCACTTGCCCGAGACATCTGTCTTAGGATGGGATGAGTTGCTTAAAGAGGGAGTCAGATACCTAAAATTAAGAGTGATGTACCCCATCTTCATTTTGAGCTTCTCGCTTCCTGCTGCTTCAATTTTCTATATTTAGTCTGGCTTGATAGCTTTTGTTTTGTGCTTAATGCTTGTAGGTGTTAAACGGATATTACATCTATTCTTAAAATATCCCTCATGTTCAGCCTGATTTTTGCTTTACTTGTTAAATTCGGATTATTATTTCTTCTTTCCTTCAATTTCCTGTGTTGTTTGGTTTAATGCTACCATGCTTGTTCCCTGTCCATTTTTAACCTTTAACGTGTTTCTGGTTGTTTCACTCAGTGTGTGTGTGTTTTATTGGTATATGGTGTAAGGGGTGCTGAATAAGTTCTGGAAATACGGGAATAGCCAGTGGAAGAAGAGGAAGAAGAGTAAGGTAGGGGAGAAGAGAACAGGAGGCATGAGGAAGAAGAGGGATGAAAAATCAGATATGTCGATGAAAAATTAGATGTGAGATGGCAATGTGCACTTGTAGCCCAGGAAACCAGTCGTACCCTGGGATGCATAAAAAGAAGCCTGGCCAGCAAGTTGTGGGAAGTGATTCTCCCCCTCTACTCTCCTCTCCTGAGACCCCATCTGGAGTCCTGCATCCAGTGCCAGGGTCTCCAGCACAAGACAGACACAGACCTGTTAGGGCGGGTCCAGAGGAGGCCACAAAAATGGTCAGAGGGATGGGACACCTCTCCCATGAAGAAAGACTGAGCGAGTTGGGGTTATTCAGCCTGGAGAAGAGAAGGCTTCAGGTAGACCTTATTGTAGCCTTTCAGTATGAAGGAGGCTTACAAGAAAGACAGAGACTTTTTACCAGGGCCTGTAGTGACAGGATGAGGGGCAATGGTTTTAAACTGAAATAAGATAGATTTAGATTGGACATAAGCAAGAAATTCTTGACAGGGTGGTGAGACAGGGGAGCAGGTTGCCTGGAGAAGCTGTGGCTGCCCCCTCAGTGGCAGCGTTCAAGGTCAGGTTGGCCGGGACTTTGAGCAACCTGGGCTGGTGGAAGGTGTCCCTGCCTGTGGCAGGGGGGTTGGAACTAGATGATCTTTAAGGTCCCTTCCAGCCTAAACGATTCTGTGATTCTAAGATTCTGTAAGGAAACTAGGGGCTGCTAGCACCACAGATAAAGCAGATGACAGTAAATGTTACTAGTGTGAATTTGTTGCTCGGGAGTGCTGCTTTGGGAACATGTATCGGTGTTGGGACCTTAAAGGTTGTCAGAGTCAGACAAGAGACATTGACAAGGTATTTGAGAACTGGGGGCTTTCCTTTGTTGTGGGAGCTTTCACTTGGACTGGATGCATGGTGGCACCTGCACCTCTGTGGAGACTGGCAGCATGGACCTCCTGGAGAGTTCATTAGTGAACATTCATAAAGTGCCTTGAAATGAATGGAGGCAGATGAACTCAGGTGTCAGTCTGTTACAGAAACCCTGTATAGCAAAGGCTGCCATTGCCATTCCAAGAAGGATGCAGCCTGCAGCACCCCTTGCACACCAGCACGTTTGCAGATGAGGGTAATAAACTGCTTTTTCTGAGGAGCATTAGTTGCCTGTTGTGCTAGTACAGCTCGGCAGGATGGAGTAACATGCACAGTAACACTGAAATCAATACCAGGTCAGCTTTGAGAGTTCACTTTTTAGTGCAGAAAGTTGTGGAGTGTACAGTCTTCTACTACCTTTGTGTAGAGTTTTTATACTGTAGCTGCATTAGAAGCCAGCATTTCCATTGTTTTATTTCAAGTCGTATGCCATCAGGAACGTGCTTGACATGTTTAACTTAGGTGTGTTAGAAGCTTTTAGTTTACGTAAGAATGATAAATGTCACCTGTCTTATATTTTAGTCAGGAGGCTTTGCATCCATCTTCAGTGAAGACATGCCACAGGTAAGTTGGTGTAGTGTGATATGCTTTAATTAATAAATATTTTTTCAAGGGTGATTGTATCCCTTATCTCAGTGTTGTCCTAGAACCCATCAAACTGCATTTTCAATATACTGCCTTTCCCCCATGAGGAAAGTTACAGGGATTTATATGTAAAAATAATTTGATATGTAAGATGCTGTTCCCCAATGTATATTATGACTTATTTAAATAATACAAACAGAGTCTAGTCATGGGAAATGACAGGCAAACTTAAGCACTGGCATTACTTTGTATATATGACAGAAAATGTATGCTCTGCATGTGTGTGCTCTGTGTTGTACACAAACACAAATGCATCTTTGATAAAATCCTGAGACCCATTAAATAAATGCAAAATTCCCACTGATTTGAATGAGGCCAGGATCTTATCCCATATGTTGCTTACCATTTTTCTGAGCATTAAGAATCCATCACAGCCAAACTACAGTTTGCTTATTTTTGTTTAACTATTCCAGAGCAGAGACCAAACAAGCAAGGATGAAAGCTTCAACATGTTGCATGCTTTAATTTGTAACAAGAACTTTCTTGTTACTCTCATTCACACCCTTGAAAAGCAGAAAAATTTCTCTGTGAAAGACAGGTATAGTATGATTATGCTTATCATCTTCAAGACAAAGAATTAGCAGGAAAAAAGAACATGGATTGTAGCACACAAATGTATTTTCTACTTCTTACAAAACAAGCTTGCATTACTCCAGAGTATTTTTCCATCTTCTCCATCTGTACGCACTGAGGAAGAAAAAACATTGTCATTAAAACAAGCCATTAAAGGGAAATCAGAATGTTTGTACATGTAAACAGAGAGGCAGGAAAGGAGCAGGAAAACTCACTTCAAAACTGTAAACACTTCCTGCAGTTAGATCAGCAGTTGTACGGTTTAGAAATGTTCTGTCACTGAAGCAGATGTTGTTCTGCAGAATTAACTTGAGACACACAAATTCGGTGTTTAAAAAATAATCACAATAGCAGATGGATTTGCATTTTTTTATACTTTTGTAGAGATCAGTGGGCAGTTTCTGTGCCTGAGGAGGGAAAACTTAGGATATGAACGGCACTGAAGTGTGTTTCATTTATTAAAAATGACTGGAAAGAGAAGTTCCAAATACTATAGCTTTTTTTTTTTTTTTTTTTTTTTTTTAAAACAGGTGCTTATTTGCATCCTTCTTGACTATTGCACTACAAACTAAGCTAGTTTATCTAACCCATATTTTGGAAGTGTTGACAAAGGACCTGATGGAGCAATCGAGCAACGTACAGCCTAAGCTCCTGCTCAGACGAACTGAATCCGTGGTAGAAAAATTGCTGACAAACTGGATGTCTGTCTGCCTTTCTGGATTTCTCCGAGTACGTGTACATCTTTTCACTACATAAGATACACAAATAATTTTTATAACTGATTACTTCCATAGGAATTGTTAGAGGGATCAGTTTAAAACATTTAATCTAACATTTAACATTATCAATGTGCATTCTTCTAGTTTAGGTGACTTAGCTAGCTATCATCAATGGGATGTGGGAAAAGAGCACGTCTATAAGCGATGATCATGTCATTTCTTTGGCTGAAATCTGGGTTATTTTGCAATTCTAGCATACAGTTTTCTCATGTCAGACATTATTTCCTCTGCTTGAGACGTATTGTGATCCTACTAAAAGACTGACATACTTGTTAAAATGCAGCTGTACCTTTGTATGCAAGCTGTTGGAAAGCTACCACATAATGGAGATTTAGGGAGCACCGTCTTTTGGAAAACTAAACTTTTGTCCCAACTTTTTAACCTCCAAACAGCATTGCAGATTTCAAGAACTAAATGACTTCAAGTGGTAACGAAATAAGCATTTTCTTTTGTTTTACTGTTTATTTAGTTTAGCCCATTTGCTAGCACTTCATTCTCGGTTTTGGTGCTTGGTTATGCTTCCTGTCTCTCTTACCAGCATGCTGATATTGCACTGTTGTTATCACTCATATCAGTCGTTGCATTAATACAGCAGCAGGATTGTTTGAGGCTCAGCAGCTCACACTGGTTTCCTGGAACCTCAGGAGAGAGCCAAGGAACTGTCAGAGATCTGTTCTCGATACACCAGTCATCTTTACAGAGCTGTGCTAGTGAGGTGCCTTAGCCAGGCTGCAGGAATGGTGTCATGTGGAAACAAAGCTCCATCCTTCCTTTCTCAGGTGCCTTTCTGAAGCCTGGGGTTCAGGCAGGAGAGGGAAGTCCCAGTTTCATTCCCTCTTTGCCTGATACACCAGTGTATGTGCCACCACCTTGCTCCTGAGGCTTTTTTTTTTCAGGGACAACAAGGGGAGACACCAATGCAAAAGGAAACTAGTTGTTAGCTTGTTTTCTCACAAGACTGGAAAAAGAAGAAATAGCTGAAGTATGCATGTGAACACACGCACGTTTCGCCCCCACCCGCTCTTTGGTGGAACTAGGAAGCATCTGCCAGGTGGAGTAGGAGCAGCTTGTCTGTAGTGTGCTTTGTGCACAGCAAGGGGCTGTGAGCTACTTGCTGCACACTCCAGCTGTCCCTTGCTATTTGCATGAGACTTTCACACTGAAAAGCAAAGGATGGAGGTTAAACAAATAACTAGATAAATCTGCTCAGAGGGATTTTCTAATTGCAAGATAACAAGTTAGTTAAAAGGAAGTAACTTAATTGGTTACACTTGATTTTGTTCTAATTATTCATGCGCATTTAATGATTACAAAAATAAACATGTTCCTTGCATTTGTTTCATGTCCTAGGAGACAATCGGCGAACCTTTCTATTTGCTAGTGACAACCCTCAATCAGAGGATAAACAAAGGACCTGTTGACGCGATAACTTGCAAAGCCCTGTACACACTTAACGAAGACTGGCTGCTGTGGCAAGTGTCCGAATTCAAAACAGTGGTATGTTTGCCAGTTTGTGTTCCCTCCTAACACGGACAACTACAATGTTTTCTCTTTTTCTGGGAAGCTAAATTAAGGCGCTTCGACACTAACGTGATGGTTATGTACCTATGTAAAAAAATTGTTATTACTGACAAAGTTTCAAAATGCAGTAGAGTTTACCTAGCTGGTATTTCACCAATATACATTTCATAAATAGCACTCACCCCTCACTTCACAGCACGTCTTAATGGCCAAAGGTTAGATTTAATGAAGTCTCAGGGTATTATAATTCCTTTTTATTTTAAAGTGTACCACAAAAATATAAACATATGCTTAGAATTTAAACTAAATTACACTTTTCCAATGAATGATAGAATGGAATGCAGAGGTTTTATTTTTCTATTGTGTTTACTTGTGGCTAATCTTCAGGCAGCAGTAATTTGCTGAGGGTTTCCATGTTACTAGCTCCAAATTAGCTCAAAATTAACAAGGTTACGGTGTGGTGGATTTTAATTAGTTGCTTGGTTAAAAACAAGGTATTTGGGAAGCCTAGCTGAGTTTCTGAATTTTACCACAGGTTTCTTGCCTTTCTCAAAGCAACTACAAAGTGCTTCCTATTTCACGGTTACACCCATAATTTTTTGAAAGCTGGAATTCCCTTACTAATTGTCTTTTTGACACTGAGGGGAGAAGGGACAGCAAGGATTACTGCATTTTTGAGCATGTAAAAATGGTGACTTTTTTAGTAGGAGGTCTGAAAAAGGTTTTCAGAATAGCACTTTTTTTTCCAGAATTTGCAAGTGATTTTGAGTCTGAGAACTTTAAAATCTGCATTCCCAGTCATTTCCATAGCCTTCTTCCTTGCTTCTTAACTCCTGGCTTCCTGTTGGAGTTACCAGACACACTTAGGGGTACGAGAAGTGCTACTGAATAGTGGGATTCAGAGTTTGGGAGCAGAAACTGCTAGGGCAGCAACTGCCATAGCAGGGACACTGCAAGTGCCGGTGGTGGCTCTGGAGGAGAATTCAATCCTTTTCAGAGCCCATATGCTGAGCCTCAGGTAGGGCTGGAACTTCCAGGTCTGCCCATCTTCTTTTTTTGCAGCAAGGACCTGGAGGTCCTAAGATACCACATATTGGACTAGACTACCCCACCCTGGAAATTTTGGTTGGTCAGCAGTCTGTTGGACTTAGGTCACTGGGTCACATAGGAAGCTCACTGAAATGACAACCTTTCTATGAAACATTTCTGAATTGTCATTTTCTGCTGAAAGCTCTCGGACTGACAAATTTATAGTCAAATCTTCTTGAAGCTATTTACAAAGCTGTTGTTGGAAGCTTCATTTGAAGGTACTTCAAGCTAAGTTACCACAGTATGCATTTGGAAAGAAGTTTGTGACTAAAAATTAAATGCATAATAGTGTATCTTTGGTTTCCTTGTTTGTGCTCTGCACTCTGTCATGCATTTGGGATCCAGGGTAAGTTTAAATATATTGCTATATATAGCCATAGGAAACAAAACCCAGTAGTTATGCAGAGCAACAATTTTCAAGCAAGCTCAATATGCCTGTTCCTAGTACACTGTGCAGAAACATCTGGTCCTGTGGAATTGATTGACTTATTTATAGCACAAATTCAAATTAAGAGCACCTTTGGGGGGATAGCTGACTCTGAAACTGCTGAACACTGCCTTAAATACTTTTCCTAGTGCTACTTCTATGCATGCAGCTCCTGATAGGGTCTTGTGGGCAGTCTGCAGTGAGGAGGAGAGAGAGGAAGTGGTCTGAGGGACTTGGTACCAGTGGGCAAGGCAGTCTGCGGATGGATGAGGAAGTGAGAGGGCAGATAGGCTTTCTCAGATGTTGTTTGCTGCCTTTGTACTTTGTATTTCTGCTTTTAAATAGGAGATAACGATACTATTATAGGGTTAATAAGTCAGCTTTCCCCACTAAGGTCCAGCAGTTTATTTGACTTAGCTGAGAAGTGGCTGAATGTTCTCTTCAAAACTGTCAGAAGAGGAGAGAGGATCCTGCCATAAAATTAGAGATGGAGCCCAAGGACTCTAGTTCTGGCTGGACAAAGGAAACAGTTTTGTTTGGTGTTTTGACTAAGGTTTATGCTGGAAACTAAAACTATGCTGTGAAAGAGATTTAGGTGGAAAGTGAGGCTTTCTGGGCTGGGGAAGCAGGCCAGCGGTGTGCGTTTTCTCTTCAAGAATAGCATTTAACAGGATGCTAAAGTGGAAGGAGGCAGCTTTTCTTCTCTCACTAACGCTACTTCACATACACTGAAATGACATGCAGAACCTGTGAGCGTGTAAGCAGGCAACCAAGTATTTTCTCTTTCTTTGGAAGAAAATTTCTGCCTAAAGGATTGCAGGTTTCGTTTTCTAAATGGAATGATTTCTGAGCTGAGTTTTCAAATGCGTTGTCATATTTGCTTACTGCAGTTACATTCTGAGTCTTGCAGTATTTCGTGGTACTCTATTTTGCCCCTTTTCACAGCCTCACAGTAGTCGTACATTAAAACCTACCTGTCCAGAGCAAAGTATAAAAACAGGCAAAAAGAGGGTGATAGGAAGATACTGAAGCACATCTGCAGACACTCAGTGTCCAGGTTTTTAAGCTATGTAAGCACTTGAAGATGAAGGGATGCATCTGAGAGGGAGTTCAGCTCTCAAATCGGTGGCAGGGCACAAACAAGTGTGTAGGCAGTCTGCATGCAAATCTCTTCTTTCAGGATTGGGACTTCAGTTCCAAACCAATAAAAGCAGGACACAGGCAGGTTCCTAAAAATCAGGGGGAGCTGCACAGGTCTTCTCGTAAAAAGCAGGGGGAGCTCCACAGGTCTTCTCCTAAACACACCTCTATGCTGATAAACTCTTGGGGCAGGAGAAAGGAGCGGCACTGGGCATAGAGAAAGAAGGAAGGATGGGAGAGATTTTGCTAAAGTTTAGGCCATATGCAACAGGAAAAAAAGAGAACTAAAACATGCTGATTTTGAATTGCGTTAGAGCTGTTTCGGGGCTGGGCCCCATGCCTGTTTTTTAAAAAGGCCACAGACATTGGGACCAGCCGACCCCCTGTGGTTACCCCTTTCTGCTGGAAAGCATCAGATATTGAACAGAGAAGGGCTGCTGAAGTAAATATTCAAGCAGAGGTATTGAAGGAAAGATGCTTCTAAGAGCATTGGTCCAGTATGAGCTGAGGAGCTGTGTGGTTTCACGCTGTGCTTATATTTGAATATTGAGAAATAAAACTGCCTTGAAAGAGACTTGGACGTTGTGGAGCCTTTTCACAGGCTGAGGAAGCAAGCCCTCTCTCTCACAGGCAGACAAGCAGCTGCACCCCTCAGTTGGTAATTTGCTCAATGACTGCTGAAGAAGCACAGTGCACAGCTGAGTGTTAGCATTGCACTGAAGTGTTTCATTTTACGTAGAGAAGCTACACAATGCCAGCCTGGCGTGGGAGACGTTCTCAGTGGAATCTCTCCTGTGGAAAACCAGGGGACACTTCTTCACGTGGTAGACTTGGTGCTCCAGCATTCTTTTGAATAGTCGCATCTTATTTTAAAAAAGGGATTTGAGTTGTTGAATTCTTAACTGAAATGAGTTTGCATTTTCAGATGGGAAGAAATTACCTGGTTCACCTGTTGAGTCAACTGGCTTTTATTGAAAGTGAAGCAAAGCCATGTGGTGGAAGGTTGTTCAAAGTGTTCAACTGCTTTAACAAGTTAAAAGAAGGGTGTTAAAAGAAGTGGGAGGGCTGTAGGAGAGTAAAGCAGAAATGGGGAACCCAATTTCCTAATAAGACACCATGGTTTTGGTATTACCAGGCACACTTTGTGAGATAAGAAAGCTATTAAAAGCATGTGACATATGGGGATTTTCGTCAGCAGAAAAGGACACAACAGGCCTCTCTAGGAAGTGAGCGGTGCAGATGTTGGCTACAGCAGAGTCTTCTGAATTAGATACAGATTGAGTACCATACTGTCGCATCGAGAGTACAGCCCTTGCTTTGCATCGTGCCATCTAGCCTAAATTTAACTCCGGTAATGCTTTCTATGCCAATTTGTTAGCTGTTCCATAGCCTCTTCATGGGTGACTGTTCTGGCTGCTACAGAAGGATCATACAATCAATCTGATTTTTCCGGTTTATTGTATTTCATTGGCTGGGAGACAGAGGAGTAGGTTTAAGGCACTTTTGTTGTGCTGAACATTATGGTGCTGTCTCCTTTACATAAACTCTCTAACTTTTACCAATCAAAAGTTTTTCTTGTTTTTTCAGTCTGTCTGATAAATGGAAATATGCTTTGTTCAGATGCATAGCTGAATAAACAACAGGGTAATGAATAACAGCCCTTGAATATCCCAGATGATTTTTCTTTACTTCTTAGCTTTACTAATTCCTTGTTTGGAATTAATTTTCAAGAAAACTACAAATCTGAAAAACCAGCTGTAAACACTGTCTTCAAATATCTGCATGAGTGCTGTCACTGCATGAGTAAAAGAATGTTTATAAAATTTGTTCCTGTCTTTTAGATAGGTTCAAAGCTAGTTCCTATACAAGTAGTTACAGATGCTTGCCTTATTCTCCTTGAGTATTCTTTAACAGTTCTTGCAACCTGGGTTAAGCCTTTGCTGAAGAGCACTGTGACTTTGTGTTGCTAATCACTGATTTCTAGTGCATGAAGTCTCAACTGCAGATATTCCTAGGTTGAACCACATGTCCTGTAATTTCATCCTGAATCTTTCCCTAAGTTAGCTTGTATTTTTGTTTCCTTTGCAAAGTGGGAGAGCTTAGAAAAGGGCCTGATGATGTTTCTTCATGACTTCCAGGTGTCCTCCTGTGATTTCTCCTAAATGTTTTCTGACCTTCAGAGCTGATCATAAAAGGGCTTTCATAACTTTATAGTAATTTCTGATTCTTTTTCCAGTTCTACACTTCATGTCTAAATGCAGTGATTGTGACTGTCAGCTTCTGATTAATGGCTTCTAAAGCCAGGGATTGTGCTGTCAGACAGGTTGAATCTGATTTATGAAAACTTCAGCAACAGAGGGAAGACTTAATAATAATTGGCTTTCCTACCTCCCCATCAATTGATTCATCACTTAAGATTAACTTCTGCAGGAAATCATATCAGCAAAACTGTCTGGCTCTCTTGGTTTAGAAACTCTTATGCTTTTTAACATATCTTCCCATCTGACCACTTCTTTAAGTCATAAAGTGTTGTTATTATCCTCACATTGTGGATACTTTCGATTAAGGAGTCCATAAATTACTTGTATTCCACCTACATAAAGGACTACTTTTCTCTTTCTACAGTCTTTTTACAACCTACAGTGAGTTGAGTGGGGATGGGAGGACTCTCACACACTAATAACTGAAGAGACTGCACATTTATGTGCAATCTGTGTGAGAGCATGTGCTGAAAAGGAAATGCATCAGAGAAAAAGACAGTTTCTCTTGACAGTCTGAAAGGAAGAGAAAATGAAGGAGAAGCAGGAACATGAATATTGCAGTGTAGGAATAACTTTAGGAGGAAAGGATCAACTAAAGGAGGAGATACTTCCAAGGATGTAAAGACAAATCAACATCACTTAAAGTGTGAGTAACTACTCCAAAAAGATCAGTTTGGAGACTAGCAGAGACAAAGACTGATTAAAATGAGTTTTCCAGAGCCAAAATACAGTTAGTCCCTGTCCACGTTTTTATCCTACAAGACCGTGACCTCAGGGCAATCAAAGTCAAGGACAGGGCTGCTGTCTGTTCAGTTGGTCTGTGGGCCTAACCAAGCATGACTCCCTCATTTCTGTGCCAATATATTTTTTACTAATTTTCCGCGTGAAATCACAACCTGAGGCATGGCGTCCAGTCTGCTTCTCCTTCTGCAGGCATCATTCCCACATCTCCTCCTTTTCCATTCTGTCTGTCCTTTCCATGGACTCATTTTCCTCACAATTAAACATCTCGGTGTCCTGATTAAGTTATTCTCAGTTACTTCAGTTACATCCCAGTCTTTGTTTACTCCTGAACTTCATAGTTTTGCAACCCTATTTTTAATACTCCTTTTGCTTCTGTAGAAACAGTAAGGTTAATTTATGTCTCATTGGACTACCTTTCTCACCGCCAGTGTTTCATAATTTCCACTCATGCTGGGCAATAAAGCAGAAAATAGCATTTTACAACTATTAATAACTACCCATTTTTCTAAGAAGAGAGAAAAGTTGTCCCTGCAGCAACCTGGACTGAAGTTCTTTCCTTCACATGACAGCAGGGAAAAAAAATTTTTTTAGTTGCTTCCTCTTTTAACAATTGCTCCTTCACTGACTCACACCTGCAGTCCTCTCATTTCAGTCAGAAGATAGGTATTATACCAGAAGTGTCCAACAGCCAGAATGGTTCAAGTACATAGATTTTGCTATGCTGCTTACAGTCAAGTGCTGGCACCTGAAACACTTGTTTTAATTCTGTCCCAAGGTATCTGCAGCAGAACATCTGTATCCATGTAGCTGAAGAGTGATTTCTCTGCCAGGGGCAAGCTGCAGCAATGGAAACGATCGCTGTCATCGCTTGGCACTAGCAGTTCTGTGCTTACCTCTTTTTGCCTGCCTTTTGGCAGTTGATCTGCCTGACCTAACCAGAAACATGACCTGACTAAGAACATTCCCTGGAGGTGGTCACCCAGTCTCACTGGCACCTCCCTCTAGCCCATACTCGCCCGGTGTGCAGCCCAGCAGATGAGTTGTCTCCCAGCTAAGAGCAGCTGTGAGCTAAAGGGCTGGGCTGTTGTAAGGGGACAGGTGGTGTGGGTGTTCGACCTGCAGTAACAACTAATAGGATAAGTCACACTTCTCTTGGCAGAGCTGGACTGCTTTGGGTTCTGTCTGCTGCAACATGCTTTCCCTTTCCACTGCTTCTGCAGTAGGCCTGTCTCTGCTGCCTCTGGAGACACAGCTGTATGCAGACAAACACCGACGTCTCCAGGGGAGGTGTATATTTTTGTATGATATAAGGCACTCAGCATAATCTGCTGGTGTAAATATGCATTTTAACATTGCTTCCTATCCACTAAAAATCAATCATGCTTACCATGACGACTTACTTAGCAACCTTATCAGATCTCTCGTTACTTGCAGTTTTGCTTTTAAGGCATACATTTTAAATAAAAGATCTGCTTTTTTTTAGAACACGCGTTGTAATTTCTCCTCATCTCCTGTCTTTTTTTGGTAATTTACTAAAATAGATTTGCACAAAAGCAGAGTACAAAATACACTTTTGGAATTAGGTAGCTATATATCTTTGAGTCCTTGGACATGAGGAATTCTAAGTGCTTTGTTGTGTAATTCCTTCAAATAATCTTTGTTTGAAATAGCTTTAATAATAAATGTACTTAAAATCTCTCAGGTTTGCTGTCAGGAGTTTGAAGGTTTCCCATGCCAGGTGTTCACTGTAAATCAGAATAACATGTGTTTCTTTCCCCAGACAGTGAACATTATCTTTGAAAAAATCCCAGAAAATGAGAGTGGAGATGCCTGTCAAACTATCCAAGTTAATGTTCTGGACTGTGACACCATAGGCCAAGCCAAGGAGAAGAGCCTCCAAGCTTTCCTGAATAAGAATGGCTTTCTCTATGGTCTTCAGCTGGATGAAATTGGTCTTGGTAAGAGAATGTCACTGTGTGATATTTTCATGGAGTTCACTGGTCTGTCTGTGGAGTTTTTTCGTTATAAATTCCTACCTTTGGATTTGATTTTTTCTTTTAGCATTTAGGCAGAACATAGCCTGTGTAGGGAATTTCTAGAGAAATACTGGATTGTTTATGCTACCAGTTAGAACACTGGAACTATATTTACTTCACTTCTGCAAGGACTTTGGCATGCAGTTGACAAACACGTGTTATTTATTGAACACGTATAATTTGTATGTTCCTTTTCTGGGTTAAGCAAGGTGGCCAGTCCACTTAAGTACAGCCAGTCGATAAATTTTGACAGCAGGTAAGATGAAACGTCATGATTACAAAGTACTTTAGTCCTTACCTACTACCCCTCCTACCACCCTTCCTTTCAACAGGCCTACGTTTCCCTTGATCAGGAGAACCCACAATACAGTTTTATTTACAGTCAGATTATGCTTATACAGTAAATCACATGTGACTCACAAAGACATATACAGTATCTACATATGTAAATAAGGCCGTTCCAGCAGATAAGTTGAGCCACCTTTCCTTGTCAGGTTTTCAAGAGCCCAAGGTCAGGTAAAAGCCTGTGTAGTTGCCACTGTAACACTTCCCACGTGCTCCAGTAGGAAATCTAACAAACTCTACATTGTCAGCATTTCTCACTTCTCGGACTTGCTTCCTAAGATGTTGATATTTCCTCAGACACTGTGTCGGCAAGTGATGATAACTTACTTTCAGATCTGATGTTTAAATTCACCGCCAGTGCCTGACCACTCTTCACAAATACTATGTCAGTCTGGTACAGCTCATTTTAGTGATCTCTTAGAAATGGCTTGTGAAATTTTCCTTCGAGTCCCAGCGTGGCCATAACACCAAGGCACTCTTGTGCAATAGAATAGCTAGATTAGGTGAAAGCACCTTCCAAAAACTCTGCCTTGACCAACACAAAGTGAAGCACTAATAGCCTGCAGTAATGGAAGCCACCCGGGCTGTCACCCCAGAAAAGGAATCTATAGCATGGGCGTGCAAAACCACTCCCATGTGACCTAGCACGAGGACAGAGAGAAACAGCTCATTTGGGAGCCACCGGTCCGAAAATAATTAGGTGTTTTTCTTTACAAACATCTGTACAGTGAGAATGCCATTGGGATGTAATTGTTTTCTGTTGCTGTCATACTGCAGAACTTGTGTCTGAGGAGCAGCGAAGAGAATTGTTAGATATCGATGGTTCCTCAGAGGTGATGGAGGATGGGATAAGGAAGCTAAATACCATCGGTCATTACGAGGTAAGCACGGAAGCCATACCAATGAATCGAGAAGCAGTTTCTCCCCAACTCTCAAATGCTGTCTGCATGGAAGTATCTTGATTGACCAAAATCTTTAAGAGATAGTTGAGCATCATCAACAGAAGGAAAAAAATGTGACACACAACTTTCTTGCCAATGAGTCATATGTTTTCTGTTACTTTTCAGAGGTTTGCTTGTTACAGGGTTGCTTGGTTCAAGTATACCAGGTAAACTGTTACTTCTGATAAGCATTTCAGTTAAAACAGCATCTGATTTCCAGCTATGAACATTGCCTTGAGTCTCTTCTAGTCTCTGCTGCTGAGTTTTTTTCCACCATGAGCAATTGTTTACCTCTTCCCCCTTCATATTTTGGTTATCTGAACAGGTGGCAGCAATACTTGTGAAAGAATAAAAGGACTGATGAGTTTGCTTGTTCTTCTCTTGAGACCTCCTGTGTCAGTCTCCTTCCTTTTTTCTCTCTGTTTCTGCCTCATCTACTGTTGCCACTTGTACTGTAAGTTTTCCCCTCCACTTCCAATTGCACCTGTAAACCAGTCATTTTCAGTGCTGCAATAATCTGTCCATCATTGCAACAACACGCAAGGCTGCAGCTGGTGGCAGAGCCCTTCTGGGTGTAGCACACCACAAAAGCACAGCAAGCAGCATTGGCAGTCTAAGGAGCTTCCACTGACACAAGTCAAAACAGAGGTTGAGGCTGGGGTAAAATATGCAACAGGTGATTGGCCTCGGGTGATACGGTAGCTCCCATTTTGATGCTTACAGACAAATTTTAGAAATTAGGTTAGCATGCCAAGCGCTTTTAGTGACCTTTCTTCGTGCCTTATTTTTGAATTTGAAAGTCTGGCTCTTAACATGATAATCAAATGGTATTTATTTAGAAGTTTTGCTGATGAGTGGTAGGTCTGTGCCATGCAGTGCAGTGTGGTGCTGAGGAACACGTTGCTGTCTGCATGAGCAAATACAGTGTCATCCGCGGAGAGAAATGATGACTCCCAGCAGGACTGTTTGTAGCTTGGGCCAAGCACGAGACTGCTCAGGTCTGGAGCAAGTGCATTTGGAGTTACTTTACAGATTTCTGTAGGTGTTTGTTGCTATCCTTACCTCCTGGGGAGGCAGCGATGAACCCAGATGTCCTGAATCACCATCCAGTGCCTTAAATACAGCTTTTCCTGTGATACTCTGGAATCTTGTCTATAGATGAACGTGGGACTTCCTCCACTCCACTTGTAAAGATTTTGTACAAATTATGATATTGTAGTGGTGCAGTCAGTTTGTGCAGCAAAATTCAACATAGATTTGAATCTGATTAGACATTTAAACTTGTGTCTAATGTGATAGTACCCACCCTCTTTACAAAGGGCAGCTATTGCACGTGCTCCCTGATTTTATCTGGGAGCTTTTTGTTCTTCCTGAGCTCGTGGCATGCCGTGGCTCATGGCTGCCATAGCTCATGGCAAATGAGTCTGCTCCAGTTTGTCACCGTCATCCCTGGGTATCTTTGTCCCAGCCTTTGTTTTTGTCTGAGGTTTCTGCAGGCAGATGCAAGTTAGTTTGGATGTTCAGTTGTTATTGCAAAGCTGTAACTACGCTAATTATAGCTTAGCAGCTGCCTTATGAAAATTGTGCTGGGTGTCTCTGTTAGATATTCTAGTTCACTTTTTCTGATGCTGACAAAATAAGGTACATTTTAGGCAGAAGCTTAGTGGCATTTTAGGCAGTGGCTTAGTGGCAAGTACCAGCCACTAGCATATCTAGTTTATTTTCTTGTATGCATATTAATGCAAAAAGGAATGTAAAGGTGTCTAGTTAGCAAGAAAAAGGAACATTGCATGCACAGTGTCAGGGTAGTAATGTTGCCTGAGGAATTCCCACTTACATTTCAACAGTGCCTAAGGTTTTGTGGCAAGCTTGAAATTTTCTTTTTGTTTGTCAGCCTTAAATGCTAGAAAGTAACCAGATTTTTGAAATTGGGAAGTACCGTCAAATCTTTTTAAGATACTGGAGCATGAGGGTTGTGCTGTAAAGGTTCCAGAATCACGAATCGATCTTGAAAAAGCAGACCTAGTTTCTACACCGATTTTTCAAATGCACAAGTAGGGGATGTTTACATTTTTGTGTGGTGTTTCTGAATGGAAAAAAAAATCTACTGTACTCTTACTAGACTTTCATGTGTGTCTGACTTGTGTGTTCCTTTTGCTCTAATTTTTTGCTCCTAGTTAGGGTTATTGATGTGATTATTTATGAGGTCTGAGCTATTGTTTGCATGAGAATAACCACAAGCATTGACAAGGAAGTTGCTGATTATCATGATGTGCTATTTCCTGTGCAAGAAGAGAGCTAGAGAACCACTTTCAGATCTGCTGTCCAGTCAAACATCTCCAATTTCTCAACCTGTAGCAGCATCAGACATTCCAGGAGCAGGCACAGCCCCGGGGAGCCAATTTGAATGTGTGATCCAGACTCACTGACAAGAACTGGATTCTGACAGGAGGCCTGGAGAACAAGGAAGAGGCATAGAGCCACAGTGCTGCATCTTCTGTTTTGCAAAGTAGCTGTACTCCATGGTGTGCGGATCTGAACAGTTCTCCCCTCTCCCTGTTTGTCCCCCTCAGTAACACACCTGACAAAGTAAAGATGTTTTGATGTGCCCATGGGAGCAGCCCACCATGAAAAGTGATTTAGGCATCAGGAGACAAAAAGAAGGGGGTTTTGGCTTGGATTTTTTTTTGTTGTTTTTGTTTTCTTTTTTTTAAATGGATCACACTGGAAGTAACAGCAAGTATAGCTGCGGAAGTAACAGCAATTATAGCTGCTGAAGTAACAATAAAGTAGGGAAAGCGTATTCCACTCAGTGCTGAAAGCACCAATTGTCCCAGAAATAAAACCTGAAGTGGGGGCTTGCACCATGGCTGCACTGCACCAATGCTTCTGCTTCGTGGGGGGAAGCATGGTTTTCCCTCTGAGCTCTGCCTGTCTCCTCAGCATCGAGCTGCTCTCCTGCTTCTTGTAGAGGGAGTGGAGGCACCATATTGCCCCCGCCGCTCTGGGAGGGAGTAAGCTGCTGGGTAGCCCTGTTGCTGTTTACCTATCTTCAGGGTCAAGTAGAAGGACTCTCTGGGTGTCTGTGTCACCTCTCAAGCTAGCCTTAGAGCATATTTCCATCTTAGTGTGGTTTTAAAGTGCTCTGTGTTGACTGAAAGAGCTCTGAAACACTGTGTGATGAATGGAAGCCCTGCAAAAAGTCATACTTATAAAATAGGTTGCATTTACTTTCGAGGAGCAAGTGTAAGTGCAGATTTCTTTGGTGCAAGACACAGCTTTTGATAGAGTATCTTAATGTTTAAACTGGTTTCTCACACCAGGCTGGCTGCCAGGGTTTAAAAAACACTTAAATTATTTTGGCACAGATCCCTTCCTAGAAGTGGCCAGTTGTTTTTTGTAATTATAGAGGGAAGTACACTAGCACTTGGCAAGACACAACCTTTGACAGCAGAGCAGTGGTGTAGTTCTCAGTGGGAGCCATTTTTGAGTTATTCTTTGACAACAAAAACCTGACTTGCCAGTTTCTTTTAAAGACAATACTTACCATCCTGGCAGCACTATAAATTCAGGGAAGAAGTGGGGTAGATTTCTCTTAGAAGTCCCAAAGTGGCTAGATACGGATCTTGACCTTAGGGTCCACAGGGCATAAATATTTTGCTCAGTTCAAAAACAGTTCGTGGGAGCACCAGGCTTAGACCCTCAACGTGGCCCGTCCATAGGGCACGGGGGGACTGGACTGAGCTGGAAGAAAAGGGGCCAGAAGATAAATCATCCTTGTGTTTGCCCCCCGCCTCACCTTCTCGTAAGATCCTATTGCATTGGAGCCAGAGAATTCAACCTGGGCAATCTGTAGAAAGACGGGCGTAAGAAGCAGCACATGAAAATGGAAATGTCCAAATAGGGGCTAAATGAGAAAAATCAAAGGAAGGGAAAGGTCTTAAAGGCCAGTTTGTCGGCAGAGCTGCCTTCCCAGCTTGCCAGGTAAGGCTAGCAAACTGCAGCTGCGGCCAGTGCCAGAAAGCCCGGCCCTGGCTGCCTGCTGAGAGCCGTGCACACCGTGGTGAGAATGAGGTGGGCTGGCCTTCTCCTGGGCGGCCACAGACTTAAGGGCAGAGGAAATGAAACTGAAGGTTTTATGAATTCTAGACACTTTCCTTTGAGCATGGTATGTTTGTTTTTGCTTTCAGATTTCAAATGGAGCAACCATAAAAGTCTTTAAAAAGAAGACAAATACCCGATCAGGTAACTGCAGCCTATTTAATCTTTGGAGGGGGATGTGCTGCGAATGCAGAGAGCTGAGCTATGGCAGGTTGTATCTTGGGCAATGAGAAGTGGGAGAACTTGGCACTTTGATACAGCTGAGCCAAAGTAAGAGCTGTGTTACCCTGGCCCTGGGCCTCTGGCAGGCACAGCAGACCTAGAAGGTGGGAAGAAGGCAAAGGAAGGAAGGGGAGAAGGGCTTGCAGTCCTCGGCAAATGAATGATTAAAGATACAGACTCATAGGCAGGAAACCCGAGTGGCACAAAGTGCTGACTGGTGAGACGAACACAGGGAACGCTCCCTGCTCCCGTGCCCGGCGTTGTGCGCCACGGCCACAGGGGTGCACTGCCCAGAGACGGGCATAACAAAAACCACGGCTTGGGCATTCTCCTTCTTCTCTTGACTGTGTTTCTAAAGCTGTGGCTCGGCTGTCTCAACAGCAGGTCAGGAGTGAAAGGGTGCTTACGAGGGGTCATTTCATCTCACCTACCTCTGTGATGCAGGTCGCTCCAAGCCAGCTGGTGGCTGGGGGGAGGTGGGCTTTCTGTAGCCCCCGGGGAGAAACAGATCCTCCTCGCATGTGATTCACCTCACCATCAGAATGGACATCTACATTTAGGAGAGTTGTGTCCCTGAGGTGCAAGTCACTGGGATGGCATTGCTCTCTCCCCAGGCCTTGTCTGTTCTCAGCCCTTGCTTTCAGGCCTGCCCTCAGCCGCCTGCACCGAGTAGTACTCCCAGAGGCTAAACCAACGCCATCATCTCGTCTGCTGCCTGTTGTCCTCCTTTCAGAGGAGCTGCGGTTGGCGGCCAGCTTACCCCAGCAGCAGATGACCATGCCCTAGCTTAGTGGGCCGAGCTGTTGGCACTGGGGAGGTGAGCCAGGAGCTGGGCATTTCTCAGAGGCATCCCCCACACTGCAGGCAGGAAAGCATGACGCCGAGCGGGCTCGGCATCCTGGCATGCACCCTGCTGCACAGCCCAGAGCCCAGCAGAATTCACAAGTTTCCAGCTGTGTGTTTCATTAATGCCTGTTTGCTCTCTGCTTTCTGTTGTTTAGATGTGGACTACTCGGATGAACACTGTCATTTGGTGAGTTCAGTCATTACACTGTTAAGTGGTAGATTTAATTTTGAGCTGTATTTGTATCTCTCTAATCTCTCTAATCTCTTCACGGCAGATTTTACCAGACTCTGAAGCAAACAAAGATGTGAAAGGAGCAGGTCACAAAGGAAAGCAAAAATTCAAAGTGAAAGAAATGTATCTAACAAAGCTTCTGTCAACCAAGGTAAACTGTGAAGGCCTTATTTTGGGGGAGGGCTGATGTTAGGCTTAGCTAGTTTAGCATGCCAGGCGTAGAAATTAAAGCAGATATTATGCAGACTTCCTGCACGTATGTCAAATGTTAAGTAAAAAGGTAGCCTGTAAAAATCACGGTGCTAACAATGGATTATGACCATTTGCAAAGACGGACACATTTCAGGTTTTCTAATGATGGAGTTATAAAACTGTCTGTTACTCGCACTCTCTATCTCCTCAGTAAGCACAACTTTTTTTCTAGGGTTAAAGGAAAAAGGTAGTTATTGAGCTTATAGAAAGTGAGTTTTGCCATTGAGTCCCACAGAGTGAGAATGATCCCTTCTGGAGAGACAGCTTCCAGTCAACAATCTCCTCACTCTACTAGAGTTTGCCCAGCTTAGAGATAACTTCCAAGGCCTGAGTTTCACAAAATACTGCCCGTGAGATGAAATAGTCTTTTAGGGTCTCAAGAATCCAAAACAACTAGATTATTTTTAAAAACAAGGTCCTTAGGATTTACAGTACAATTACCTGATTTATACAATGCACATTCCTAAGGAACAAGCCCTGCTCACGCCCTCCAGTAATGTCATCTTGTTTCTGACTTACTCAAAGGGGCTATAAAACCCTTTGCCACAGCATATTACTTAAAATATGATCAGTGCACGACACTGAGAGCTGTGTGATACAAGTGGCCTAATGGGATGATGATTATGGCCTTCTTGCATTTAAAAATCTATCAATCATTATTTAATTAGATTGTTGATTGCTTCTGAAGTAATTTGGAACACTGCTGAAAGTGAGAGTGAAGACTGGTTATTTCCCATTAGCTGTGGAAACTTACATAAGCCCTTAGGAATTGCTGGAGTAAACCAGTAGTAGCTTATAGTGGAAGACAGAAGTATAGAAGAAAAGATCAGGTTGTTAAGAAACAGTCCTTTTAAAGGGCTTTAAATTAATCATCTGCTTCTCCAAAGTAGGATGGTGCTCTGAACAATGGTGCTGTGATACCCTGCGCTGTGAAATTCCACCCACGATAGGCTGTGCACTAGAGGAAATTGCATCGAACCACGTCCCTCTCCCTCTCTCTCACCCATACACGCACACAGACACAGTTGTGGAGTTTGCCACATGAAATGAACTGGCCAGCGGCGCATCAAGGCCCGGGGATGCACTGAAATCCTTCTTGTTGAGAGAAGGTTGGGCTGAACTGAGCTTCAGAACAGATGTGGAGAAAAAACGCACAAACCAGTGGTTTGCTTTGTTTGCTTCCACTTACAAATATTCTGTGATGACGCCAGCGAGTCCATCAACAACCAAGTCCTTGCTTTTGTGAGCCAAATAGCTCCACTTCTGGATCAGAAATACCCAGTTTTCAGTTGTTCTCTCTAATATTAGTGTCTTTGTATGCCACCCAAAGCTGTTATCCTAGAATTAGAGCAAATACCACAGTTGCTTGGCTACAAAGTGTTGATGAGCACGTGTTCAGCATGTGTCGCTTCATGATGGCACCATGAAGCCCAGTGCCCTAGAAAACTGGTTAAGCTCCTTTTGCTCACCTTCCTCTTACTTCCAGTCACAAGTTCCAAACACCTTTAGCAACGGTGCTAAGAGTATCCGAAGAGTTGATGTTGTCTTTGTTGGAACAAGTGATTCCTTCCACCTACGATTTACCACGCAGTTCACCACAAATCTCCTGTCAGTAAAGTGATGGGACATGTGACGTTTGAAAGCAGCTCATTATAGTGTATTTGTAGTTTCATTTATGTGATTGACTCTCTTGTTTGCCAATAACCTATGGCCTAGACATTTGCCACAAGCGTATTGTAGTTTCTGTGTGTGGTTGCCCTGGGGCACGTTCAGCTCTCTAAGACAAGAAATCCTATTCTTTTCTTGTGTAATAATAGCACTATTCATTTTCTAACTTTTCAGGTTGCAATTCATTCAGTTGTTGAAAAGCTCTTCAGGAGCATTTGGAGTTTACCCAACAATAAAGCACCTGTTGCCATCAAGTACTTTTTTGACTTTCTGGATGCCCAGGCTGAGAGCAAAAAAATTACTGACCCTGATGTGGTCCATATATGGAAAACCAACAGGTATGCCCATATGATTTGCGCAGGAGTGCGTGCTCTCTCTGAAAATAGAGTTGCAAAGATGTAACATGTCACCTGTGATCAGAAGAATAAGATTTTGGGATGTCTGGGTGGAGATACGGTTGGCTTTGTGGACCCCAGTAATTTTAATATATTGATTGGATACTGACAGAAACCTCCATAGCTTCCAGGACTTCTAAGTCTGCATGCTGACTTCGCCCTCAGAAAGAAGTATCTGCAGGTTGAGAGCGTTATTTGGAGATGGCAGGGTGACTGGCTGATGTGCATGCTCTGTAGCTGTTGTTCTCTGATCCCTTTTTTAACATGAATAAGCAGCCCAGAAACGTGCTTCTTTCCATGAGTGGAGTGCAATTAAACCCCCATTTTAAAGCAGTCGTGCTACGAGTGGTTCATTTTAAAGACGCTTGTTCTTTCTCTGTCTAGTCTTCCTCTTCGCTTCTGGGTGAACATACTGAAGAATCCCCAATTTGTCTTTGATATTAAGAAGACTTCACATATAGATGGCTGTTTGTCTGTGATCGCACAAGCTTTCATGGATGCCTTTTCTCTAGCAGAACAGACACTGGGGAAGGTAATGCTGCCCTTCCAGTCGTTTGCTAACTTCTCAACCAATGTCTTTTGCAACTGTATAATGATCTATCTAGGGGATGAAGTCCTGGACCTGCTGACATTGGGCAGAACTGTCAGTGGCCCAGTTAAGCTGAGTTTCCATTCCTTCTTGCTCTGTCTCACAAGACTTCAAAGAATTCACTGCAGTAGCAGATACAGCTACTGGAGCGCCGTATTTATAACTAACCGCTGCTTGTCTTCTCTGCGGTTCGTTTGTGCCCAGTGTGTTTATAGCCTATGTGGAGGAGGGTGGAAACCGTAAGATATTAATGAAGTTTTAAAGGATTTTAAAACAGAGGTCTTAAAAGTATTAACATTATTTGATAAGTAGTCCAGATTTTGTCTGCCACACAGCAATGTGCAGAGAACACACACAGTAAGCCACTGGGAGCTGTAAGAATACTTGCAAGAGCTCTGAAGTTTGAAACTCTCTTTCGCATGTATTAGCTGCTCCCTTTTTACATGCAAAATTATTTGCTGGAGTAATAGGTCCAGAAATCTTACATTCAGAAGCTCCTTAGTACAATGTCCAGAACTCTGGGGATCAGAAATACATCATGTTTCCTGAGGATATTTTCCTTTTCTTTGGACCAAAGCAGGAAGCATTTCTTCAGGCTCGTACTACCTAGAAAAACAGGCTACAGATTTTTTAGCCTAAAAAAATGTATAGAAAAATGGACTGATTTCCTATGTGATCTGAACCAACTGCTCATCTGTTCAATAACAAATAGTGTGCTATTTTATCTTGGTTTAGGAGTGAAGTGTCATGAATTAAAACATTCCAAATCACTTGGTGGAAAAACTGCAAATGAGCATGGTCTGTTAGGTTTCTATGCTTAATGTCCATTGTGAGCTACTGTTGATACAACAGCTCCCATTAGCCATTTGAAAAGGGTTGCTGAAACCTGATAAAGGTTTGCAATGCAGTGAACCTCTTGTGGCCTTCTAGTACTAAAATGTATTTACTTTCACAATTTTTAGCCTCTTATCTTAGAACATTCTTTAACCACTTAGAGCACAAACATTTAAATCATTTCATCACACAGTGGAAACAATAGTGACAAGATTGTGTCATTTATTCCCCAGTATTTAAACTAGAGCAGAGGCAGGAAACTACCAGCCCCCACTTTTACATTTTGAAAACATGGTTTCCAGGTGGGGCTTCGGCTCCTACCACAAACATCAGTATTTATTTCCTCGGATGAGCATAAAGCTGCCTGGTAGGTCAGTGCTGACCTGGGTTGTTGAAGCCCTGTGGAGAAAAAATAAATCCCTTTGGCTGTGCATGCCTGGCAGTCGGCTCTCCAGGCTCCCTAACCCCTGAGCAGAAGGAGTAGCAGGGACCAAAGAGTTACTGGGGAGCCTCTGTCAGGATAGGACCTAGCAAGGCTCTGGGCATGGTCCCCTGGGGGAACTTTCCACAGCACTGCTGTACCCTGCATGTAAATAGGGTATTGGCCTCAAGCCCTTTGGTTCAGCTTTCACACTCTTTCAGGTCTGGGGAGGGGTGAGGAGGAAGCATGAAGGAAAAAATATGTCTAAGGGGCAAATGTTCATCCCTCCTGATGCCAATAGGAATAACTGTATGGCAACTGTCATGAAGCACAGTGCACTATTACTGAGGTCCTGCATCTGTTCTTCATCTTTATTTCATAACCTTGGTTCCTTGCGTATAACCACTGCAAAGAGAAGTGAGTCGCAGGGAGAACAGACACGGTTAGATGCAATTAACTATCTGGGGGTGGAACCTTACCAGATCTGTGCTGTGAAAATTGACAAGACTTCAAATATTTTCTTTTAAGGAAGCACCAACAAATAAACTTCTCTACGCTAAGGACATTCCACTCTACAAGAAGGAGGTGAAAGCCTACTATAAAGCCATCAGGGATCTGCCTCCACTGACCCCCTCAGAGGTTGAGGAATTTCTAACTCAGGAATCTAAGGTATGGTTGAGAAGCGGCAACTTTTTTTGCTTTCACGTTAAGTTTTTTTAAAAAGGAGAACTATCTGACCAGAGGTGGTTTCTGTTTTAGAAACATGAAAATGAATTTAATGAGAAAGTGGCCTTGATTGAAATCTGCAGATACATAGTGAAATACTACGATGAGGTAAGCACCTCTGCTCCTCCTGCTTAACCCCTTCGTGTTAACTTTGCTACCTCAGGCTTGAAAGTTGGGCTTGACAAAGTAACCGGGGGCTTGCCCTGCTGTGTGAGCGGCTGGGTGCCCCTCCAGGGAGGGCCCCTGGGTGCTCCTCCCGCTCAGCCCTGGGGGGCGGAGGCTTGCAGCCCCCACCCCTCGGAGGGGCCACAGGCCAAAGGTTTGCAACCGCGCCTTGGCTGTCAGCACTGTACTGCGCAGAGACATGAGCAATAACATTCTCCCTGCAGCTCTGAGAACGTTCCTGTGTGGTCTAGACTTCTTGTTCTACTGTGTTGGCAGCGTATCTGCTAACGCCTGTCACAGCTCCTGTGCATGCGCTCCATTTCCCCGGAGATTCAGAAATCAGATTAGGCTGCAGCACCAGGGGTCTCGATGTAACAGCCAGTACAAACACCTCAGCGGAGCACACTCAGCCTTACAGCAAGAGGTGTCTGCTCCTTTCCCACCATGGCTGCCTCCGCTCTGCTCCAATAGTCTTTCTCTCAAAGAAAAGACGCTATAGCTTCCAGTCCCTGCTACCGCGAACAAAAGAAACCTTTTCTCAACTGAAAGCGCTTCCTCGCCAGCTACCTCGAAGCTGCTTTGTAAGAAAATCCCTGCCTTCTGCTTTGCACGGTAGGATTCTCCACTCCATTTTGCTCGGCATCCTTAACAGAGGCTGCGAGTGCCTGCGCAGGGACGCCGATAAGAGCCAGCTGGGGTGTGTTGCCTGAAGGCCTCCTCACCACTTCCAGCAGGTTGTCTGGGTCTCCCAGCAACCAGGCCTTTCTCTCTTTCATCCCCAGCAGCACAGCATCAGCACTTGCTGTAATCACCCAGCTCTCAGTCACCTGTTAGCTAGCTTACCGTTTCTGATCTCCAACATCTCAAATTATCAGGGTTCAGCATCAAATCTTTGCCTCTTAAAAGCAGCTTCGGATGATACTTAGATCAGCACTACGCTTTATTAAGCCGATTACAGTTGCTGACAGAGGAGACTTCAGAATACTTTCTAATCTTGGTGCCCATTTTTGCTTTTTTGAAGCTAGTGCTGGCTAAACTTACCCCATCTCTAGAAGAAAACCCTCCCTCTGCTTTTCCCCCACTGGCTTTTGACTGGGAGAAGCTAAACCTCATTCATTGTTTGCTGAGACCTCAGTTGCTTTGTAGAGCTGCCAGCAGAGTTTGCAGACGGCAGTAGTGCCCCTTCCTATCGCCTGGGCCAATGCCAAGTGGGCCAATTAGAGGCAGAGAGGCAGTTTACTGCCTTCAGTTTATAGGGCGGAGGAAGAGAAATAAAATTTCATTTGTAAATCTGCTCCAGGGTAGAACTGGAGCACTGGCTTTGCCTCACACTTCAAGAGATGAACGTGTGTTGGATTTGTTTGGGGTTTTTTTTCTTGCTTGGCTCTGTCATTCTTTTGTGGAAGTGCTGCAAATCCTGTAATCAAAATGACTTGAAAACTACCAAAATAAAGTGTTAAAGTCAGAAAAGAATGTTTACATATAGGCAGGCATTCAGATGGATTTTTCTGCCAGTAGTTGTTGGAATGCAGAAAAGCAGGCTTTAAAAAACAGCAAGTAAAGTAAGCACTGAAAAAAATTACTCTCTTTTTTTGCTAATTGTTAACAGATTGTCAGCAAACTCGAGCGTGAACGGGGGTTTGAAGAAGTCCAGAAACAGCTCCAGCAAGTAAAAGCCCTATTTGATGAAAAGAAAAAATGCAAATGGCTTTGAGCAGAGCACTGACTCACAGCATCACTGTGGGGGATTTTAAATAAGCGCTGCTGCTCCCAGAACTGTTTTGACTGACTGTACGTACAGGGTTTGAAACATTTGGACACTCTTCTCCACTCTGACCATTCCAAGTAATATGTACATTTTGGACTGAAGTATGGGCAGGGGTAGATATTCAGACATGGGCATGTGAAAGCAAAAGTGAGTCTAGTGTTGGCAGGGCCAACATTTTTAGGTACATGTACCTTTTGGTTCAAAAATACTGCCTAAGTAAGCTTTCAGCTTACTTAAAAACAAGCTTGCAGGAGATGCACAAAACACACTGCAAGTTCAGAGCTGCTCCTGTGAACTTGTAAGTTGCTTAGCTCTTTTTTTTTAAGAGACAAAGCTGATGTTTCGCCACATCCTTTCAGCAGCCTTGGCAAACTGTGAGGATGAGCTCCGGCTTCAGAATACGGGTCAGCTGCAGTTTCCTTCCTTCCAGACAAATGTACACTGGTTCCTGTTCAGAAGAAGAATGAAAAAAAACAAAAACAAAAAACAAACAGCACCAAAGTGACACTTAGGACAAGTTTGTTTGTTTAGCAGAAAAAGTGGGTTTGAGGTTTGAAAGGCCAAATGCCACATGGTCAGGACTTAGCTTCCTTAGGTCAGAAATTCCATGTGCAAAGTGAAGCCAACCACTGAGCGGGGGGGGGGAGGCTGTTGGAGAACGGCGCTAGACCGACATCAGTCCGTGTTTACATTTCCACCTTTCCATCCTTAAATAAGCTGTGAAACGCTTGTGAGCAGCTTCACAGGTGAAGCCTCCGTGCAGCTGCACCGTAGGGGAACGCGGCTGCAATTGGCTGAAGCAGCTGACGCTGGCTGCGCTTTGGTGCCCAAACCTGCACTCAGGTGTGTGACCGGCCCACGCCTCAGCGCTGACGGCCCTGGCCGGTCCTGCCATCCGGCTACAAGGGCCTCACGAATCTAAAGCCAGCATTTTTTTTTTTTTTTTTCCAGGTTGTCCACACAAAGGCTTTGTCAAAAGAGGGGCTAGTTTAATACTGTGTAGGAAGAGGAGGGAGGGCTGGTGTAATCGCTGCCTGTGTACGATAGCTAGGGTTGGGGGTGGGGAGGGGTAACCGTCCTGCCGGGGTGTTCTTTGAGGCTTGGCTCTTTTGAAAGGAGGGCATCCATTACATTTGCATTGGTGGCTACTGTTAGCCCAGCTGGAAAGCAGGTGCGCGGCCACGCCGCTGAGACCAGGCCGGTGCGGGGGCAGCTGCGGCTCCGGCTGTGCTACCGCGCCGGCGCAGTCCTGCCCTCCGCTGCAGAGCCAAAAGGTTTTGCAGCCGTGGGCTCCGCTCCGACCCCACACTCCGCTCCACTCGCCCGGGCTGCTGCCGGCCCTTAGAGCTGCGGTAAGGGCGCGGATGAGCCGCGGATACAGTGCCACGCGTTTCGGGAGGGACCCGCGGCTGGAGGCGAGCGGCTGAGGGCAGCGAGTGCCAGGGGCCCTGACCCGCACAGGTGGCGCAGGGTGGGTGCAGGGAGCCTGTGCTGGGGCTGCGACACACACCGGCGCGGGGCTCCCCGCCGGCGGGGCGCTCAAGCCGAGCGCTGCCGCTGCTTTGGGGGAGCCCGGAGGCTGCAGGACGGCGGCCCCCAAGCCGCCCGGTTTGGCTGCAGAGGCTGCCAGAAGCTGGGGCTGGGCACAAGCCCGTGGCCCGTGGCCCGTGGCCCGTGGCCCGTGGCCGGCCAGCACGGGCGCACGCTGGCCATGTGTTGGCAGAAGGAAGGCCGCCCATTAACGGGGAAGCAAAGCAAACACGAAAGCAGTTGCCCGCTGGCCTGGCCCCTCCCTACTGTGTGATTGCACAAGTTGTACCTCCTGCGGATCAGCGAGGGCAGCCGCCAACCCATACTGTGATGGCTTTTTTTGTTTGGTTTTTTTTTTTTTTTTTTTTTTTTTTTTAATTCAAGTCTTACACTTGCTATTAAGTTTACACTTTATACTCGATGGAATGTATGGCTTTGTTCAGGAAACTGCACTACAGTGTTGCAGTACTTTCAGCAGTTCTCTTCTCTGCCTGGCACAATGTATTTTGATAAGTTTAATTTTAATTGGAAAAAAACACCCCGACCCTAGCCTATCTTGCCCTCTGTCCTGAAGGAGTGGACTGTGGCTTGAGTAGCACTTAAGCTTAGAATACCTGTACTTAAGGGCTTGATTTTTATCGTTCTTAACCTAACATTTTAAAGCAGCATCAAATAAATAAAAAAATAAAAGCACAGTAATTAATATCAAAGGAGGGACATGAGCAGAATGCTCTTTCCAGTTAGGCATCTCGGTGGTTCCATTCCACTTCGGGTGTTTGCTGGCAGTGCATTTGAATGAACTGTGATAGTTTTGTTCAACAGTAACCTTCTGTACAGGCAGAAAAAAGAAACAAAAAAACCAAACCAACTCCATTTCTGCTTGAAAAGCTGTAAAATATAATCTGTTTGCGTGGGTCTGATCCTGTGAACTTCACTGTATGTGTTTATATGATGAGGAAACAAAAAAAAAAAAAAATCAGTCCTATTCTGTATTTGTACTACTGCTTGTTTGCTACAATAGCTTTAATGATTTCTAGAGATTAAGTATGTGTCGAAGCAGGCCCGGTAGCTTTAGCCTACAGCCTGGAATAGGATTCTTGCCTTTTATTCAAGCCTCCGAAACAGCGTCACTCTGTTAGTAAACCATTTAAAGTCATGCTGGGACTTTGTAACCCATCAAGTGGATCTCACGAAGTGATGTGAAGTATAATTAAGTGATTGTGGCTCTTTTGGTAGGTTTGGGTCAGCACACAAAACATTGGCACACCTTCCACATCTGCAATTCGCCGCTCCTGTTACACGGACAAAAAGAACCACCTCTGACCAAAGCTGTATTACGGCAACCCAACAATCCTAACAGCATTCTCTGAAGCGAAAGCAAACTTCTCTTTAACTTATTTTCACATGTTTACAGGTGAACTGCTATGGCAAACAGCATCTTTTCTAACACTAGCTTACAGAGCATTATTTTGCAGTCATCTAGTTGAAAGTCAATTCTTACTAATGTGTAAAGTAATTCCTGTTGTACAGAAGTTGACCTGTTGTTTAAAATGAATGGTTAAAAAAAAGTGCAAATGACAAATACATGTTGGTGTTTGTATGGATTTATCTAGAATAAAACGCATTTGGAGGTTCCTTTGCTTAATTTGCATACTTTCAGATGGTTAAAAGGAAGCCAAAGCAGCTCGGAGCAGTGCCATGGTCACGCAAGGACCCGTGTGTGGGACAGTGCCTGGTGTCAGCCGGGGAGCACAACCGCCGTCCCAGCCCCGCGGGGCCCCAGGGCAGAGCCGGGGTCACAAACTGCTTCCCTCACTCCCATGTTGGGAAGTACAAAAAAACAACAACAAAACAACCCCCCAAAAAGGAAGGAAGGTACAGCTCTGCGCTGGGGAACGCGGGGCCGGAGGGGCTCTGGCCTGAAGCAGCCCCCGGGCCCAGGGCAGGGAGCGGGTGGAGGTGGGGTCCCTGGGGTGGGGGGTTCCAGCAGCCTCCCCGCCCCTGGGAGCCAGCGCAGGCCGGCGCCCCGCTCCCACCCAGCCGTCGGGAGCCCCGCTGCAAGGTCACTGCTTTAAGGTGCTGAGAGCACGCTGATGCTTTTAAAAAACTAACGATGTTAAACCCGAGGAGACGCTGATACCGGTTCTTTCGGGAGAGGGGGCTGCAGCCACAGGAAACGAACTCTTGCGCAAAGAGCCTGAGGGAGCCTGGGAAAGGGAGCCCCCAAACCAGTAACCGCCCTCCTTCCTCCCGCTGTGACCCTCTTTCTGCCTCCCAAAGCTTCCCCCGTGTGTATGAACCGCCCTCGCTGCCCCCCCCAACAGATAAAGCCTTGCTGAGGGCCAGGCAGCCAGAGCCGGGGCCAGAAAGGTGAGGCTGCCTCCTCGCAGCCACGAGGTACCTCAGCGAACGCTGCAGGCGGCGAAGCCGGCCCGGGCACCGACAGTTCCTCTTTCCAAATGAATCCTGCAAGAGACAGTAGAAATAGCTTCCGTTACTTCTGATAGTTACACTGTTTTCCTCAGAGAAGTCTAACAGATTCTCCAAGAAAGTCCTGTACAATCCTTACGTACTGCGTGGAAAATCAAAAAAGCAGCTGGTGGAGAGAAAAGCTGAATCAATGATGATGTCACCATATGCACTGTAGCTAGTCGGGTGCCTGCACAGCTCACTGTCTCATACTTCCACTGCAGTATTTTGAAAAAAAAAAAAAAAAAAAAAAAAAGACAAACCAAGGGTAAATTCATTCCTACACTTCCAGCAAGGTTTTAATTAAAAAATAAAATCAGTTGATCCTTTATAAGTTTCTGTTACTAAACTGATAATTTTTTAAAATACATTCACAACCTAACCCGGTAACTTTTTAAAGTACATTCAACCTTGAATAAATAATTTTATTGTAGTTAAGTAAACAAATTACAGAAGCAACACATACAAACTTACATTTTTGTAATGTGAAGGCAATTTGTTATACTTCATCTCTACTACATTATATTAAAAACCCCCCAATTATTGCTTATTCCCATTATAAAAATACAGGAGGCACATTGTCAAGGGTAGCAAGTGAAAGTTTTCAGCACTTCTTCCATTTCACTTCATCCTCTCTATCTGCAAGGGAACATCAAAACAACATCCCAAATGTGTATTACAGCGTTACTAACAATCAAACCCACCACCAACAAAACTCCACACTGATACAGTAACTTCTTCATTGAAGGAGTAAGAGGATATTATCAAGTAAGTTTTAAAGGACTTACCAAAAAGATTTGATTTTAATTTTTTTTTTAAATGTCAGCACAACCCAAACCTTGATAAATGTTTTTTAAAGCTCTGTGCAATGAGGTTATTATTTCACATGTTTTGGCTTCCAAATACTTTCACATCATTTATATAAAAACATTTCAAAATGTAGTTAATCTTTCAATGCTTTTGTTTTAAACCATTATGTACGATAAATTATGACAGCCTATCAAAAATAAATACAAAACTATGCAGAATATATTTTATGCTCTGCAGGCACATACAAGCATGTTTTTGGCAAAATACGAAAAGCACGTACAAAGGATAAGCTACTGAAAACTAATAGCCAGTAGAGTTTGCAGATTTTATTTGGAGTCCTCACTTTGTGCATCGCCTTCTCCAGTGACCCTGATTCTTGCCAAGTCCCTGTGTGCGCCCACCGTTACTCGCTCTCTAGATGGGCCAAGATCTTGCAGCTGTTTTCTCTGTGTGGTTTCTAGTTCTTCCAACCGCTTGCGAAGCAGGGAAAGCTCTCTTTGATGTTGTTCCTCCTTGAAATTTAAAAAAAAAAAAAAAAAAAAAAAAGGGCTCTATTACATTCTGCACACCTATAGGGGACCAAAATGAGCAGTAATTTAATTTTATTTGATGATTTTAAAATAAGAATTTTGGAGTCCAAAATACCCTTATTGGTTAAATTTTAGTCCTCAGTGTTTTGTTCTGACATTCATGATGAACAGCATCAGCAAGAAGTACACCTCAGATGAAGAGGCACACAGACTTGAGGTTTCAATTACCACAAATCTGTAAAGTCAGCCTCTCCAGCCTCAGCCAGAGAGATTTGCACCCTCAGAAGCTCACCGGAGTACGTAAAACACTGCTAACCACACAAGAAATCAAGAGCAGCAATACTGCTTTTTGATAATGAAACCGTGGTGTGGCAATACCATGATAGTATTTCTTGGCCAGAAGGAGCCATTTAAAGCCTCAGAAGAAGGGCAAAGTACAGAGAACCGGGTTAAAACTGCCCGTTTGTTACATTCTGTAAGGAAACTTTTGTCTTTCAGGAACTCCCTCCTATGGTGAGGAAGGACCATTACTAGAAGCACTCCTCAAAGTTTCCTTTCTCTTTTCAGAGATTAGATGCTCTCTCCTTAAGACTAAGGTCTGTAATGAAGGACTGTTCCAGCACCCTCTTTTGTTGTGTTATTTTCACAACTTTTAATACATCACCACCTGAAGAAGAGGGAAGGACACTTCAGGCCCAGGAGGCAAGGCAGATGAGGACATCACACTGGCTGGGTTGAGTGACGGTATGGCAGGATTCAGAATTAAACTCCGGAATTCATTGTGCCTGCGTTGCAAGTCCTTCAGTCTCTTCTGGAGCCGTGCATGTTCTTCATAGGAAACATTCTGCCTAGGAAATAAGAGATTTCTTATTGCTCAAAATCTTTATTATCCCACTACAGAAGCACACCCCTCCACGAGTACTCTGCTGCTGACTGTTCCTGTGAAGGAAAACTATATACCAGAAGAACTGGAAGGTGAAAGACCTGTGTATATTCTTCTGCCTAAATGTCTATCTAAAAGTCCCTCTCCATATTAAGCTATCTGTTGTACTGCAGATTAGAATTTACATGGAATACATTAAGCTTTTAATAGCATTCACAGTAGTGAGCCACAGGAGCCACATGAAATCACTTATTTGAAGCAAGCCCTCCATAGGTGCTCAATGAAGAGAAAAAAATAAGTGTGTCTTTCAAAGAGGATGCTAAGTCTGTTTCTCTTGCAACTCTGAAGTCATTTTCACTTCCTTCTTCTGAAGGGATTCCTGTAACTGCATCTATCGGGTATTTTTCCTCTAGTTTTTTCCTGAAGAGACAGCCCTGCAGTTGTCTTATAAGCTCTCAGCTGCCCCTCCTAAATGGACTCCATTCCGAGAATTCTAGTGCTGAAAATGCCAATAGACAGGACTCCAGTTACTAACCTAAGTGTCGCGTATCTTCGAAAACACATCATATTTGTAAGTCAGATCTTGGGCATGTATCATTTTTCAAGTTCAAAAGAAGCAAAGTTTATTACCTATTTAGCACCTGATTTTCCTTTTCTAGTTCTTCTATCTTGGCTTCCAAAAGTTCCAGTTTCTCTTGCATCCGCCTTTGTTTATTATCATTGAGAGTCTTTCTCTGTCAAACAGACATTTCAAACAGCTAAATAAATACCTTGATAGATTAGATCCTGTAAAAGTTAAATCTACACTGTACGTGGTTTCAATCTGTGACCATTTTTAGGATTTGCCTTCCTCAAGAAGAGGTGCTGTGTTGTTTGAAGGTTCTGAATCTCCTTGGTGGGAAACAGAAGAGGTGGGAAATGATCCCTAGCTGTGACTGAAAGATGCACAGCTGTCAATCACTCGTTAGTCGGTGACTAAATGTACCAACAAACATTAACTGTATTTGAGAATTACAAAATCATTCTTTAAATGACCATGTACAAACAAGTATAAACATGACCAAAAAAATGTATGCTTGCTTACTTTTTTAATGTTTCCTCATGTTGACCTCAACTGTTTACAACCTTAAAAGCTACTAGTAGGTTTCATAAGCTGTATATGTCCAATGTTTAAAACTGCCAATTAATTAATCTTGAGCTTCTATAAACAATTAATCAGCTTTTCCTTTCAAGTTATTTCATAAAAAGCAAGCTTAGGAGAAGATTAAAAAATGTTAATACTCCATCAAGGAAAAGTAGAACATCATTTGTCTAGTATCCGAAACATCATCCTTACTAATCAAGGAGCTCGCCTCTTAAATGACAGTATACACACACATGCGCGTGTGTGTGTGCAAAAAAAGCCTCACAGTATCTCTGATAGCATTATAGGCTGTCATATTTTTTGCACATCACTTCAACCTATTTCTATGCTAATCTCGAAGAATCTGATACATTTTGTTATTATATACAGTAGACTGCAAATGAACTCAATATTAAAACACTTCTAGCTGGCCAAAGTAAAGCTGAACTTTCCAGTAAAGCCGGGTCATTCGTAAAGGAAAAGTCAACATGCCTTTTTCTGAGCAACTGCAGCTCGACATAGCCTGTTCTTCACTTGGTTGTATTTCTCTTCTTTCTCTGTGATACGCTGCATAAGCACATGCTTCTCCTCCAGCCATTCTCTACGTTTGTACTCTAAAGTCCTTCAGAAAAAAATCAGGTTGAAAAATTAAGAGGTTATATAGACAAAGCGTTTGATTAATGCCTTAAGGTTCCATCTTTTCACAACTCCTACCTTTATATACTTGAAGGACCTGATTTAAATTTGGTTGTGCTAGCAACCTAATTATGCCTAACAACATGCAAGCCTGTGCATTAACATCATCCTAGGTTTTGTTCAA